TTTGACTGATTTATCATATATTTTAATAGGTTAAAAAAATAAAAATAAATTAAAATTAAAAATAATGTGTCGGTAGTCAGCAATATTTAGTATAAAATAGACTTATTTTATTAGTATACTTATACAGTTTCGGATGAAAAACTTTTGCAGTTATTAAGCTTTATGCAAACTTTTATACAAATCATAAAATTGCTTTATTTAAGCAAACATCTGAAACTTGTCATAGTTCTCGCAACTGTCTGCTTATCTGAAAACTTATCTTTTATCTATTTGATTTCATTCCAGAGACCCGCAAGATGCACGGCGTCAAGCGTGTGCTCGTGTTTTGCATTATGATTGTAATACTGCCGGCAATACTGATCATAATGCCACTCTATATGCGCAAGACGATCTTCGCAGATGTCATCTATCCGGTTGCCGAATCGGACATCATTGAGATAAGGGATGGCATTTCCTCGATATTCTGTTCGAAGCACACGCTGCGCATGAATAGCCATTTCAATGCCTTTCAGCTGCGCAATAAACCCGAAATATCCACGAATCGCAAGCACATCAGGCTAAAGAAGTCAATGACACTGCCGGACGATACCCTGGAATATTGGGGTTTCTTTTTGCTGAAGGGTGCGCGCGTTTCGCTCAAGTTCTGTTCGCGCTACAATGGATCGCGTTTGCTGGTGATCAAGGGCAAGCGAGAGCTGAAACTCTGCGGCCTCACCGATCACAACAAGAACAAACTTGGCGCCAACTATGCCCAGGGCCACGAGCAGGTCAAAGTATTCTTCGAGGATGTGGTGGAAATCACCGAGGAGAAGCTCCAAGTTGATGGAATACTCGAGCATGAGAATCACGGAGGCGAAGATCTAAGCGACGATCATCCGCCAGCAAACGCCAGCCTAAAGCCGACGCCGGTGCCAACGCCCGCAAAGCGACAGCAAAAGAAACTCAAGAAGGGCACGGCTCATCCGGTGCCCAAGTCGATGGAATCACTTGATCCGACTGTTCACAATGAGAGCAGCAATGCGCCAGGCCATCGCAAGAGACGTCAGGCATCCCATGAGCGGGACAAACGGCAGCTCTATGAGCAGCTCTACAAGCGCAAGGAGCGACAGAAGCGTGAAAATGTCTATGACCGGAAATACAGTCACGGCGGCAATGCGGTCAACTTTACGGAGACTGATGAATCCAATTCCATATCGAGCTTTGAGACTGGACTCTTTGAATGCTTCAATGGTGCCATCTTGCTGGCCGAGGGCTTTCCCCCGAAGCCGGCGTGCCTGAATGCGCACTTTCTCGAAAAGGGCAAACACGATACGGTCAAGCATAATATCACCGAGGATGGCTACTATTATTATATATTTTACAGCGACAACGATCTGGTGCGCAACGATATACACGCCATTTTCGATATCTATAAGCCAACATTTCAATACTCGAATCTAAGTGAATCGCGTGGCTGCCTGAACAGCACCGATTGCAGTTTCAACATCGGTTTCCTATCCGACGAAATTGTCGTCGTCGAGGTGCCCACACGAGATGGCATCGAGCATGAGGAAGATGATATTACAAATCTCATCTCAACCTGTCATCCGCGTAGCGAGATCTATGCACTATTTCCCATAACGGTGCTAGTGCTCATATTATGCTGCTCATTCCTATAGAAAAGTGTGCGACGTGAGACGTTCGCAGTTTGTACTCTAAGAATCTTGTGATAATTGAGATAATCGAGTGATATATGTATGTATGTGTATGTGCGTGAGCTGGCCCATAAGACATGATTCATCATTAAGCATGCATCAAATGTAACACAGTCTGAACCCATGTGTAACCAAAACAAATCAACTAGAATATGCTATATAAAAGAAATTTTAAAAAATTAAACAAAAAAAAAAAAAAAAATAAATAAAAAAAACTATAACTATATAATTTTGTAAGCCAATATTTAGTGTAGGACCCAAGCATTTAGGCTAGAAAATGACATGCGAAATACGTAAAATTAAATATACATATTATATATAAATACCACATGCATATATATATTATTTATATAAAAATTTGTACAAATAGATGAAAAAAATCAGTGCTATATTAGTTATAAGTCAAATATACTTTTTTAAACTAGTTTTAAATGAAATTTAAAAAAAACTGAAAAATGTAATTGCCTTTTAACAAATATTTAAAATAAATAATTTAAATTATTATTATTTTTTAAACAAAATTTTGCTCTAAAATTAAATTACAAAAATGAAATGTTTTATTACAACTGCTGAACAATAATTTTAAGAAAATTTTCTACAATTCGAAAAAAATGTGTACATTGTATAAATTTTGATTTATTGACTAAACATTAAAGAGAAAACAAATACAGAATTTGTGTTTATTTTATTCATTTTAAATCAATTCACACGCAATCTACTTTGCATGCAGCGTGACTTTTGATTTCACCTAGTTCGCGTACCATTCAAAGAGAATAATGCAGATACATATACATCGATTCATATATATATATAGAGCTATGCATATACCTGATAAAATAAACAATATGAAACAAGTACGACCGTTGTCGTCGAGTGTAAGCGACTATAAAATACTTATTCACTGTCCAAACGCTACCAGATATATTATCCGATTTTTTACGCCCTCAGTTGATATATAAATATATTATTTGCAAATGAATAGAGGACTTCAACAGTAATTTAGTCGAGTTATCTATCTCTAAAACTGTAGCTTTAATTGGGGCTAAATGCTTTGGCTCATACGGAAGAATGCAAGACTGACACAAAACCAATATACTCACTTCACTTTCGTGAATGAGTGTAACAACTAGATTGTCATCCCAGCGAAATAATTTGAATGTCTATATATGATTCATGCTGCATGTGTAAAATAGTTTAGCAAATAGAGATATCGTATAATAAGCAAAGCCAGTGCTTTATAAAATGAGCTGAATATTGAATACTAATAATTAATGAATTAGCTAAAATATTTTGCTATGGCACACAGGTTGTGTAAATTTACAATTTCCTAAGTTATACAATTAACTGACAACTAAGTAGTTGATAAGTAACGTCGGATTAAACGCCTTAACTTATGGCAAAATTTCATCATTCATTCGCCCCAGTGATATTTTTATCATTTAGCAACCGCAAAGAAAAGCTGCTCGCTATAGCACGCAGGTTCTGAACTTGACTAGCCCCAGTATCAAGTCTTTTGAAATGCTCACCAGTGTTGCCAAATCAGTTTTTTTCCCCGTCAAATCTGGCTTTTTTAAAAAGCCGATTGCAGGAAAATTCCAAAACTTATTGTGAACAACAATATCGAACTTTTTCATTCTATGTAAATGAAACAGAGCTTATAAAGCAATTACAAAATGTATGCAACTCTTTTGATAGCGTGTAGTACAAGAATTTATATGTTAAAGGTTGCAGACAAATTTTCAAATAGTGCAAAATGTTGATTCATTTTTATGCATATATATTTTTGGAGAACATTGAAAGTATTGAACACCAATATAAGAACATTCACCCAATTTAGTAGGAAACTATGCTACAAAGTTTGGGTTGAGAGGCGTATTTCTAAGGATTCGATAGGAAATAAGAAATTTAGGAACTTGGCCCCTTTTTGCATTGCTTTCTTTGCCAATGCGCATGTGGGTAAAATTTTTCGTCAGATAAATACTGTGATGCATAACTCAATTTCAAGCTTCAAGTTTTATAATATTATATATGTTTTAATATATAATATTATAAAACTTCACAGATACGGCTTGCGTTGGTTGAAGAAATGAAGCCATGATTCTAAGTTCTTAAAAATATATTTAAATATCAATCAAATGAAAGCAAAAAACATCAGCTTGTTTCCCGATTTTTCGGCTTTTTTTTAAGTATCTAACCACTAAAAACCGCTTTTTATGCTCAACAAAAATTGGCAACACTGATGCTCATGCTCATATGAATAGCGAAATACTTTAACTGGTTTCTTATCACAAAACATGTGGCTTGGTCTTATTTTTAAATCGAGTAACAGCACAGGAAATTAGCTATGTATTACGTACACATTTCAATTCTTAATTTTTAATTACATATTGATAGGAATTTAGAAAAAAAGGTACTTAAATTCGAATTCTTGATTTTTCCTAAGAATTTATATAAATTTATATATTTATCAGTCAAACGTATCGTATCAAGTGATACACATTTCTTAGCTATAATATATTTAATAATGATTATATTTTAATTACAATTTTTGCTCCTATGCTACTAGTATACGAATCGTACCAAATGAATAATAAGCGATACAAATGTTTTTTGTTATACAATACACTGCTTTATTTAACACAAAAATATAATTTTAAAAACCGAAAAAAGGTTAAAGAGTCTTGAGGGACAAATTACGGCGTCAACTTACCCCCAAAACCTTCGAAACAGCTGATTTGCCTAGCGCCCTCCCCTTCACACATGCTTCACATCTCTCTTACTATCTCTCTCTCTCTCTCACTCATGCTAACTGTAACACTCTCTGGCTCTCTGGTGACATTGTCATGCACACCTGGTCCTGCTACCGAGGGTAGCCAATGCAAAGTTATAAATAAAATGCTAAGGGCTCTCCAGCATTTGCTCTCTCAACTATTCGTCCGCTCAGCATATTTGATGAATTTATGAGTTCCACTGAGTGCATTATCAAGAAGCCGGCCGCATGCCGGCATTTATGCAATTACCGCAATCTCTCACGCTCTCACACTCATATGCTCACGCGCTCTCTCGCTCCCTGACCATCGACAGCCGCCCTCTTTGCACATGTCATACATTTTTTTTTGGGGGGGCAACGCATGCGTTTTTACTCTCCGCTCACTCGCTCCCGCACGGGGTCAGCTCACATATGAGCAAAGCACTAAAGTAAATGCCTGTGAGTGCGCTCGTTCGCTCTCTCCCCCTTTCTCTTGCGCTCTCTCTCTCCCACTCTCGCTAACACATTCAAAGTTTTTCTAGTCTGTCGTTGGCTCTTGAGCACATCGCAAATTTCGCGCGTTCTCCGCAGTTGCCGTTTTGTTGTCAGTTCGTGCGCTCGCGCTTCGGTCCGCCGTTCGCGTTGTCGGAAAAAATTAATTTGGTAATTAAATATTATTATTGTATTTTCTCTTATTGTTTAGCTGCGCTTCAATTAAGTGCAATACAACAAGGTCAATCAAAACGCAATCCAAAGTCGTCACAGATTCAAATAAAGCCCGAGCACGTCCTGCGTCACATTAGGCAAAACAGAAGAAGAGCAGACAAAAATACAAAAATACAAAAAAAAAAAAAAAAAAAAAAAAGAATAACCAAAACCAACAACAACAGCTAACACGTAAAGGGAAATAAAAACAAAACACAACAAATTGACTAAAACTGTGCTAAAAATCAATTGTAAGTAGCCAAGTGTAGTGCTAAAATACTGTATTAAAGCCAAAAATCAGTCCAAAAATAATATTAAAAAAACATATATGTATATTCAAAAAGAATTTGTAAATATTTTAGTCAGCATTAAATGAGCAGCGGAGCTCAGTTCGTTTAGTATGTCAAACCGAAATCCAATGTGAAATGCATAAAAACCATTTAAAGTGCATTCAAGTGCTGTAAAAGTGAAAAATTTTAATTTCAAAAAAAAAAAAAAAAAAAAACAGACATCAACAAATAAAAACAAAATTCCCTTGCGCATAATTAAGTCTTGAGAATGCAGTAAAAAGTAAACGACACGATTAAATCCGAGCACTAAAGAGAGTACATATGTGTGTATGTATATGTCTGTGTGCGCACAGAAAGCCCAAAAATAATAATAATATTCAATTGGAGCACAAGGAGATGGCGACCCGCCTGTAGAAACTACCGAAAGACATGTGGCGAGCGATGCAGGCCAAGCGCTATGCTCTCATTGTGATACAATATAGTAATATAAGCGCGTAAGCTGAATATCAAAATTAAGTATAAAAAAAAAAACAACCGGATCTAGCAGGGTGAATTCACTATTTAATGAGCTTTTAAAATTTAGGAATAAGAAGCTTGAAATATTGATAAATATTTTAAAGTAATTCTAAAAATTAGTAAATCTTTCTAAAAATAAAAATAGATAATATTCATAAAACGAGAAATAATAAAAAAAAAATATTTACATCAAATAACAAAGGAAATAAAAACAAAAGAGTGAAATAAATAAGTAAATTTATGACAAAATAATTGTTGGAAAATTATAGAACCAGAAAAAAGAATAATACAAATATTTAAAATAAGTGTAATACATATTTATAAAATAAATAGTTGTGAATAACTAAAATATTTATAGAAAAATAGTTAAAAAAAAAAAAATGTAATTTTTAATATTTCAAATATAGGAAAAATGTAAATAATCACATATATAATATATAAATAGAAAATAGTTTCATAAATATGAAAAAAAAAAACGAAATGGAAAAAATATTAACAAAAAAATATGATTAATAATGTTATAAATAAACATGATCGTCTTCATCATCCGATTAAATCAATTTTAAATAGAAATATATCATACGAATATTGGTAATTTTAATTAATTGATTAATAATTTTAATTTTAATACTGTACATTCCTTTCTCTGCAGTTGCATTTTTTTATTAGGATTAAATGAATTGTTTTGTAAGTGTATTCAGTACTCATTACTCGTCTGACTTAGTCGATTAGTTGTTGTTATTTATATTACGTTGCAGCGACAGCTGCCCTTTGGCTGCCACTGTGTCTTGTGCTCTCCCACTCACGCGCTCTCCCGCTAACGCTCTCCTTGTGCAGTTGCCATTTCCGTTGCTATCTATTTGTCGCTGGGGCTCTCCACTCTCGCTCTCACTTACTCTGCACTCCAGGGGTGTATTGAGCCCGCAACACAACGCACTGCTCCGACTCACCGCGTCCCGCCGCCCTGCTTGCAGTCCTTTCACACACACATGCATAATATATGCATACATATGCATACATATATAGGTATTTTAACATTATTCCTTAAATGCGATCACTTAACAGGCGTTGCCTGCTGCCCTCTCTCCTCCTAATCCCTTTTTTACGTCAATTCCCATGCGTCTCGTTCTCTTTGTATTATTTGGTTATATTTATATGCATATATATTTATTTATACTTTTTCAAATTTGCTTATAGCTTACATTACTTAGTATGCTACGCCTCAGATGCGGCAGCTGCTGATAAGACGCCTATAATCACAGTGCAAACGGGCGCACTGTGATTATAGGCGTCTTCTCATTGTTTCTTTCTTTTTCAATGCGCTCTCCGCCGGGCGTCAACTCGATAATGAGCTTAATCCGCAATTCCGACATTTCATAATGTGGGCTTATTAGTCGATCCATTGCTACTCAAGTGGGCACTCGGGAGACGTGATAAACATATGTTATGTTTTCTTTTCTGAAGTTTTCTCTTACACTTCAGAGCTGTTAAAGATTATCAACATTATCATCATTGAAAAATTATTGTTGAGTACAGCTAATGATGCTCTTATCAGATAAATCATATACACATTAACCCACATCTTTTATCTCACATTCAACTAAACAAGTTATAAATCTTTATAGCATTATTTGCTGTAGTTTATGTTCATGACGTCTGGAGTTTTCAACTTGGAAAAAAACCACCAGATGTATACAATAAATGTATAAATATGTTTATTTAAATGTATGATGATGATAATGTATGATGTTAACATCGTTTTAGATACCATATATTAATTAATATATATTTAATAATTTGTTTTCTCAAATCACCTGTCTTAAAACAAAATACAAAATTATTTAATTAATTGGCAGACCTAATTATGTTTACTAATAATATTCTTATATTAATTTTATTGATTCAAGTTCGCTGAATTCAGTCAGATCTTTCATATAAATAAAAATTTTCTTAAGCAAAAGAACATTTAAAAAATTTGAGTATTTCATATATTTTCATACCTTTTATAGCTTATGACTAAAATAAAATTAATTGAACACATTTCTTTCGATTATATTTATCTTTTTCTTGATATCGCACAAGAAAGAAAAAATTAATATAAAATACAAAAACCAAAGTCATCGATTTTTTGCTCATAAACAATCAAAGTTAACTTACTCAAACCCTTTCCCCCACTTGAGACAACAATACAAATTAGCCTCAAGCTATCTTAGCCCTCTTGCACACATATAGTTGACCTTATCAGCGGCTGCCTAATCGGCTAGTGATTTATAAATGTATGAATAAAGTTAGATTTCATTTATTCATTTGATTTAATTTTTAAGTTGATATTATTTGCATTTAACGTATTTTACAATTCTCAACACACCCATCCAATCTCATCAAGGCCAATGTATGAACTCAATTCAATTTTCATCTACATATTCAGGCGAATGTTTGAAAAATCAATAGCTGAATTGATAACAATTCTTGCGATAAGGTTGTGTCGATATATTTTATCTTAGCTGCGAAAAAATAAAGCAACAACATTAGAGAAACGTAATTATGATTAATAAAGTGAAGTGCTTTAAAATGTTTCACAAACGATTTCCATTTGAAAATAAAGTAAAGGTTGGTTTGGGCTGTCCACGTGACTATAAATTCCAAATTTCTTTATCACGAATTCAGAGATACCGGAAATGCCTTTTCCTATGTATTTTTCAATTTGCCACCAAACCAATATACCCATTTCCCTTTTGTAAATGAGCATGAAAAAAAAAATTAACAACTGGTATCTTAACTTTTAGTGTCTAATGACTAAATAGATAGCTGACTACTTTATGGGAAGGTTAGGTCTTACAGCACTTGATAAGAATGTCCACGATGAATGTCTACTACTTTAAAAACTTTGCTTTTGAAGCGGATGTCTGAAAAAGTAAAATAAAAAATAAACTACAAACAAACATATATATATTTATATATATATATAATAAGCGCTCGTTCTTTATGATAACAGTTTCCATGGTCAGTTCCTGTAGGGCCTGATAAACAGTTGCAGTTGTATGAGCCGATACATTAGCTAAATATTCCACAAAAAACATATATGTATATACATACATACATACATATACATAGTTTGTCACGTTTATCTGACAATGCGACAATTGAAAGTAAGGGAACACAAAATAAAGAACTACAATTTAATTAAATTCTCTTTTTTTTTTTTTTTTTTTTTTTTTTTTTTTTATTTACATTATTCGGAATCGCAAAGCGTGGCCGATTTTATTGGTTAACTGTCAAGCTATATATACAAAAGAATTGAACAATTGGTTTGCTGTCAGTGCGCTCGTGCTTACAAATATATGTTTCTACATATTTCCAACTATATTCGCTGTGAATGAACTGTCACGGTATTGTGAATAGGCCAGCGCATATATTTTGTATCTGAGATAATAATTTTATTACGTTGAAACAACATTTTTCAAATATCTATCTAATACGCTTTAAATAATTACTGTTTTAAATACTTAATAGTTTGCAAGGGAAAATTGAATATTATAATGAAAAAGAAACGGGTAAAATTAATCTTATTCGAGACTACTGAATTCCCTATGAAAAACTGATACCTATTTGAATTATTGTACGCTTTTTTAACACGCACACACATACATACATACGTGCTCTGATAATTGCGCAGTTGACGCAGCGACTGCGATTGCAATATGGGAAGAATATATCTATATAGTTTATGGGGTCTGCGTGTGAGTGAGGATTGAAGACATAAGTAACAAATCTTAGTTTTTTTTTTGTTTTTTTTTAAGATACAGATTAAAAAATATATTCAATAATAAATATAATTTGGTTAAAAATAACACTGTAGTCTGGAAATAAATTGTTATATTATTTAAATATTGTAAAATATATTTTAGTATACAAGGATTTATATTTAAAATGAAATAAAGAAATTAAAAACAAAAAATTATTTCTATATAAACGCTTCAAATATAATTTTTAAATTACGTAATTGAGTACAATTTGTTGAAAAACAATTTGTAATTTTAGATAGTACTAATTGTAAAATAGATTAGAAGCACGTTGCGAAATGAGTTCATTTACTTGAATATTCAGGCAATTGATAAAAATTGTTTCAGTTCGTCATTGTTAGCTAAATATAGACTAAAAATTTGTTGGATTTATTTGTTTAGTGTGCACACGGACTTTTACGGCTTTTACCATATGCAAAGTGACTCGCTGATAGTCAATTTAAGTAATTTTCGTTTAATTGCATTGCTTGACGAATGCAAAACTGTTTCAGTAAATTTCAGTCATTGCCGTGACACGCATTTCGAGCCCAGTGGAAACGGTGAAAACTGTGGAAGCGCAAGGTTTCCCGATTCATTTCATGCTCACATTTAATTAATTTGCAATTACAATTGCAATTTGAAACGTTCTGAACTAACTGCCCATCATCAATTGAGGCAACAACAATTGCAATCAGCACCCGCCCACACAATGCATTTGAACCCGTTTGACATTGCGGGCTTTCCAGCCTATTCATTCAATTCAGTCTGTCAGGCTGTCACACAATTCTCTCGCTTTACTCAACTTCTCTCGCATCGGGTTCAGTTTGAGTTTCGTTTATTGTAGTTTTGTTTATCCTATCATCATCATCCATAGAGTCCTCATTGCTGTTGGCGACCTCCTCCCTCGGCGCGGGCAAGAACTCACCCACTTTTAGTTTGGCTGGCAAACGCTGCGCTCTGATCACCCCAAAGGGATGCAGATGATAGATTAAATAGTCTAGCACATACATGAAATTGGGCGGAACATAGTGAAAAGATATCGCATTATCCGAACAGCAATCTAGACCCTTTATTAAAATATTAGATTAAACATTCATCCAATCATTCATGAATGCATTCATTTTGCCACTTACATCGTCTGTCTTATAGTAGAGATATTTCCAGTACCAAAAATTCGGATCCTTGTAGGGTATTAATATTTGCTCCGGCACAAAGGGAAACATGCGACCACGCCCATTCACATCACGAGAATCGCCTGCTGTCACATTCAGATTCTCCATGCATTTGCCAATCTCGATATCCTCGTTGATAACGGTGCCAGGTAGACACATCTTGGGATCGGGTATGCCCTCGACCACAAACCTTCGCAGTGCCTCCTTGCTGAGCACATAGCCAGCACCACCCGACATATATCCCTGCTTAACGAAGGGCTTGAACTTGCAGCCAAAGTGAACGGGCGTCTCTGGACTATAGGGATATAGCATATATCTCAGATTCTCAACTACTGCATAGGTGTCGTCGTCAGCCTTGTAGAACCAATCCGCATCGTTGTAATGATGCTTGTAGACATACTTGAAGGCCTCCTTTACTTTCCTCCACAAATTCGGTCGACCCTCTTCTACATCCAACTTGACTGTGGGCAGCTCATCATCTGCCGCGGAGCTCATGAATAGCAAAATGTTACAGCGTTTGCCCCAGGTGCGTTTCACGTGGCGCGCCTTCTTCTTATGATTGTTGGGATTGGTCATGACCCAACAGAGCAAACGCACCTCCCTCTTCAGCTGATCAGCGAGCGACGTATTTTCATATAGATGATCATGGCTAGCCACATGGCGATCGAGTACTGATTCATTGATAATTTTGTAGTGGTTTGATATATCCGCACCAAATGATGATTGCTGAGTTACATACGAATCAAAGGAATCAATCGCTGCTGGCGTGCTAAATATCTTTATAAGGCAAATGCCTACAGCTATGCCCGCAGTGAAAACTATTATGGGATGTCGCACAATGAATTCGCGTTTCAGATACATTTTGTTGCATAAAACACAATAAATAATAATCCTCCAATAAATAATTTCACATCACTAATTAGACTTGTCTTTTAATAAGGAAAAGCAGAACCGAGAACCGAGAACCGAGAACCGAAACCGAGCGTAGCATGAAAGCAACTGACAGCAACTGAGGAGTGAGCTATATTAAGAAGACTTCAGTGCTTAGCATAAATTGATAACGAAAACATTTAAGAAACGTAGCACAGATATCATTAGGAGCATAGCTATATGCACACGTATTTATGGTTAATTGCATTAAGGAGCCAACATTCCTTTTAGATAAAAATAAATAAAGACGGTAAAAAATATAGTCGAGACTGCTGGACTACCAGAGCGCTATCGACGAATTAACTGATAAGCACAAATCTATACCGGCTGATAAGTCAACAAATGATTCTTTTTAACCTCGGCTCACTTAGCCGGGTCAATTAGTTTAATGTATATAAGATAAACGCGACGTCCAGATAATAGGTAGTAAAAACCATATGTCTATTTAACAATGATTTGTTTTCTGTTCTGTTTTCTGCTTATATTGTGACAGGCTGTAAATTTAATTTTATTGCATTTTACGTAGCTAAAAAAGAATTTTAAAGTTTGTAGTTGTAATTATATATCAGTAATAAGCCATTAATATTAAATATACACATGTATACATACAAAATACATGTATTGTGAGAGTTAATAAATAAATAATAATAATAAATAAATGTATCACTTAATAATTATCATGGAAACATAAATAAATAATAGATAATAAAACTAATAATAAATAATGTATAACCATGCAATGACTCAACAAATAATTAATTGATTTTTAATTTTTTATTAATATATCTATTTAGAAATACTTTATAAATCAATCAAAAATAAATATCTACTATAAATTTATAAAATAATAAAATATATATACATGAATATACTGTTATCCATAATATAAGATATACAAATAATATAGTTAATTGTGAATAAATAATATAATAAATAAATAATTAAACATCTTTAAAATTATCAAATTAATTAATTTAATTAATTAAAAAATATACACTTATATACATAATTTATAAAATTTAATTTTTAATTAAATTTAAAACACAGTTCAAAATATTTTTTTTTTACATTTTCTATTACAAAAAACTTTAAAATTCATCAAAATTGATTTGATATACAGAACTTAAAATGAAACAGAAAATTTCATTCAATTTAATTGTCTTATCAAATAATATATAATAAATAATTATTTATAATCAAGCTATGATTAAACAAATCATGAGTTACCTTATCAAATTTTCTGCACAATTCTTAAACGGTTAAGAATCTTATATCTCATAGAGCCTTCATACTATACGAAAAAGGTCTAAATATTTGTTTAAAATGCATAAAATTAAAAGCTGTAAACCAAACAAGTTTGACTTTTGTGAAAAATAATTAGAAAACCTGAATTGTTTTTTTGTACAAGCCTAAGACCTCAGTTAGCAAATTGACGTGAAATTAACTAAATAAAAAATACATATAAATGTTTAAAAACAATGTACATATATATTTTTGTAAGCCAACATTGTATACAAGATCTGAAATATATAAGAAACACTAGAGATACGAGTACATGTTTAAAGGGGCACAAGCACAAGACTATTGACCCAGTTGAGCTAATCAAACGTAATGCACGTTCGGGAGATAATTAATTGATATCAGCACCAACGCATAGCAGAATGCATTAAAATGAGATATATAAAATAAATAAAGCAAACACCCAAACAAAGCATATAAAAATGAAATAAGAAATAAAAGATGCAACAATTGAGCAAATTATAAAAAAAAAAAAAAAAAAAAGCAAAAAAACGTTGCTGCAGCTGAGCCAAGTGGAACTCAAATGAATCAATTGTCACGTTTTCGCATATTTAATAATACAGTCATGTCTCGAGCATCGCCCCGTTGCACAATTCCCAGATAGATGACACTTGTAATTGAGAGATAGGCGAGTGCAGAAGATGAGACGCTCAATCTTTGCAATTCAAAGCTATTTGCCGAAGATTCAAGATTTTTTGCATGGAACTACAATATATTTCATTTTGCAGAAGATGTAAATCGCTGAGGATATCTATCAACTCCACCAGCAACACAACCAAAGAGGCTCCTCGAGCGGCCCCTGAAAACCAAAGACTAAGTGCCTAGAGCATAGAGAGGTTGCCTTTTACAACCTCCAAGTGAGACAACCTACATATATAAGACAAGCAATGACTGCCAATAGCCTATTGGGACGCTCCTTACTCAATGAAGGTGAGTTTTAAATAAATCTTGAACTGATCGAGGCATTTTCAACATATTGGATTTTATGTTTTCATCGCTCTTTAGGACGCTCCAACAAACGTTCGTTAGTCTCACTGATTGTCGGCCTGGTCGTTGGCTTCTGCCTGGCCGAGCTGTTTGTCTACTCATCCACGCCGGAACGTGGCGAGTTTGCGCCCTACGACGGCCATCGGCACGGCGATGTCAACGACGCCCATCACAGTCACGACATGCTGGAGCTGTCCGGCCCCGAACAGGATATCGGCACGCACGAGCACTCAAATGAGAACACAAGTATTGCCGAGAAATTGCATAGCGAAGTGCGCATTCTCTGCTGGATTATGACAAATCCCTCCAATCACAAGAAGAAGGCGCGCCACGTGAAACGCACCTGGGGCAAGCGATGTAATAAGCTGATCTTCATGAGCTCAGCCAAGGATGAGGAACTGGATTCTGTGGCCCTGCCCATAGGCGAGGGGCGCAACAATCTCTGGGGCAAAACGAAAGAGGCCTACAAATATATCTATGAGCACCATATCAACGATGCGGACTGGTTTCTTAAGGCTGACGACGATACCTACACGATCGTCGAGAATATGCGCTATATGCTATATCCCTATAACCCAGAGACGCCCGTCTACTTCGGCTGCAAGTTTAAGCCATATGTCAAGCAGGGCTATATGTCTGGTGGAGCTGGATATGTGCTCAGTCGCGAGGCAGTGCGTCGCTTTGTGGTGGAAGCGCTGCCCAATCCCAAGCTATGCAAACAGGATAACACCGGTGCTGAGGATGTTGAGATAGGCAAATGCTTAGAGAATGTCAAAGTACTGGCAGGCGATTCTCGTGATGCCAATGGACGTGGACGCTTCTTTCCCTTTGTGCCCGAGCACCATTTGATACCATCGCATACGGACAAGAAGTTCTGGTACTGGCAATACATTTACTACAAAACAGATGAGGTCTGAGTTTTAGATTAGATATCAAACTTGAAGTGCTTTATTAATTCAGCTCCCCATCTTCTTACAGGGTCTGGATTGCTGTTCGGACTACGCCATATCATTTCACTATGTCTCGCCCAATCAAATGTATGTCCTGGACTATTTGATATACCATTTGCGACCATATGGTATAGTTAATAGGCCAGATGTATTGCCCAATAAGCTGGCGGTGGGCGAACTGATGCCAGCGCCCAAAGAGCCGAAGGTGATCGAATTGCCCAAGCCGTCGGAGGAATCGATGACCGAACCGGAAAAAGAAGCGCAATGATTCCAGCGCGTTGTTTTGCCATGTATATAGAACTTGTGTAAATATCGTTCGATCGACTTAGATCTAACTCAGTTTAACATACTTTGCCATTTCCATATGTTGTCTCTTGTATTAGCTGAATTCGGTTTATGAAAAAAATGCTCTTGAGTTGTATAAAACAAAAAAAAAAACAAAACAAAAAACAAAACAAAAAAATGCATAATAAGAATAAAACAAAACAAAAAAAATAATAATAAAACAAAAAAAAATAGCAAGAGCACTCAAAAGTGCTGTGACTTTAGTTTGTAAAGAAGTCTGCGCAATTATGGTTTATAATTAATACTAATAGATTTATATTAGATTTGTATACTTATACTATAAGATTTATATACAAATATAATATTATATATATATTATATAGACACTCGATTTGATTAACTATTCGTAATGCATATGGCACATAATTACTTTCTAAGACAACGGTAATCAATCATATGCATATATACTGGCCCATATAGTTAGCAATAATTTAATAAATTTTATGACATAAATTAGTTGATAAACTTAAATATATGAATAATATATAAATATTTGTATATTTATATGTATACAGACATTACTTCTGACAAAATGTATTACACGCTATTATTATTAAACATAAAATTTATTAAAAAATCGTATTATAAATTTACTTTTGCTTTATTTTTGGGCAATTTTTACAGGATTTTTCAAGTCAGGTTAAATACCTTAAAATCTAAATGCCCAAGAAATTCGCATTGGGCGAACTGATGCCAGCCCCCAAAATTCTAGTGGAGTCCCAAGTATCATTGGAGTCCAAGGATTAGAATACAACCGAAACAGTAACGAAAGCGCAATGATTTTAGATGTTTTGTCATGTCAAGAGATCTTGTGCGAATACATCTGGATCAGACTCAGTGCTCTAGGTTGCATAAATGCAAAAATAAATAATAATAAATGACGAGACAAGCGCTCAAGAGCGTTTTAAAATTGACCTAGCTCTTATGCTCTTATGCTGATCCGAATTGATCTAAGGGAAGCAATTTATAAACTAACTTTCTTATTTAACTATATTATACTATGGCCATCAACTAAGTCAGTAATTATTACTCAATTTAATTAGAATATAATTTCATGATCATGGTTTTCAAAACGTTGTTTCAACAATCTTTTATACAATCGATTAAGCACTGACCATTTTCCAACTGCTTTCCAGAAGTACTGCTTGCGTTCCTTTAGGAAGTTTTCATATTAATACAGATACGTGTTACCTTACTTATAAGTTGTATATCAGATTAAATTTCACGCGAAATATATATATATATTATTATATATACTATATAGCGAATAGCTTGGCTCACGAGCACTCCGGGCAATCCTGCCGCAGTAAGGGACGATGCAAAAAGTGTAGCCAGGATCACCACACGCTCCTGCATCTCCATGGCTTAGCACGGCACCTCGCCTCGATTCTTAAGAAGGCGACCACAGCTCCGCTCAACGCCTTGATCCACCATAAGTGAATGTCGTGCATTCCACAGAACGAGGTCTCCAGCTACAAGCGCAACATTATAATTCGGAATATTGGCAAGGGGGAAGTATGTTTATGCCAGATCCCATTAACAAGAATTGCTCCTCCCGTACCATACCATGTTATGCTATTAATAGCATTCTGTTAATAACATAACCCCAACACTAGTTCTCCTACTGGCTCTGAGTACTTAGCATCCCGCGAAGTACTTCGTCTCACATCCCCCTCTCACTTGACACTTGCCTCTCCTGGTATTGACACTTATGTATCCGTTTTTACATACAATTATTCACAGCTGTCATAATATCAATAAAGACGCGGAATTTGCAAGCCGATTTTTGTATTTATCGGCGACGCGACCACTCCAATACTATGATAAAATAAATAAATATTGCAAAATATTAACATTGAAGAAAAGTAATCTATGTAGATATATATATTAATTAAACTATACTCAGCACCGTTTCAAATTGATGTCCCTGACAGCTTTAGCAGCAATGAATTACAAAACAAAACAAGTAAGAAGGCTCCAGTCGAGACTGCTCGACTAGGAGATACCCTGAACCCTCTAAGCTGTTATTCGAATCATTCTGCACTTCTTTTATGCACACATACATACACATGCATCCCACACATACGTATAGGCACGCGCTCTGCTAACTGCGCAACGACTGCGCTTGGTCGTCTCTAGGTCTAAAAGTGTTCAAATTAGGCTGAAAAACAAATTCAATTTTTCGATTATTCTCGATAAAAAAGTTATCGGATGATTTATAGAAAAAATATGATAAACTTGTACTGCGTATGGTACACACGAGTATCCATGCAATATTTCAGCTCTCTAGCTTATAACTTCTGAGATCGACGCACTCATACGAACAGACGGACGGACAGATATCGATTCAGCTCGTCGTGCTTATCAAGAATATATATACTTTGTGAGGTCTGTCTTCTGTAACATACTTTTAACAAAACCAATATACCCTGATTTCATTTGATATCTGCATTCATAAAGGAATGACCTTTTTTAACGGTGTTTTCACAGCTGTTGTCTAATAACTCAGTTGCATATTGGCAACTACATCTCATATAACTCTTATTATGCGTGATTAGTTGAGTCTGTAACGTGAAATACTTCAGTGCACTTTCGTTAAAGAAATAAATAAATTAACTTAGTTTATACATTTCGTTTCAGAATTTTCAAAACTTATAAAAAAAGATTCTAAAATAAAAATAAAAAATATGTGTATACAATAATTTATATAAATAATAATAAGAATAATAATAATAAAATTCAACATTTTGTGTACTCAACAATATAATAGAGAGTATAAAGAGAGTATAAACAGTTAACACAAATTAAATTTAAAAACTTAAAAACTTTAAAATGCAACATTATTAAAGTTGAAATTAAAAAAAAAAATGTTTAACGTATACAATAAAACAAAAAACAAAATTCTAAAAATATAGACAAGCTTTAATATCATGAAAATGCCAGCATCTTCTATACTATATGAGGGTAATAAAATCAACTTTTAATAAAATGATACCAAATTATTTAAATAGGAATATTTTAGGAAATCCTAGCAAAACCCGCTCCTTACTGACTCTTCTAATTGGACTGCTAATAGGATTTTGTGTGGCTCAGTTTATATTTTATATGATTATATCTCAAGATATCGAATCTATTAATACTTTAGCCAGAAATGAGCGGCACATGCAGCAACCGACTAACGATGTTGGAATATCTAATTTAGATGTGATCGAACACGAACATCCACACGACAATACGTCGGTCGCTGATCAGTTGAAGAGCGAGGTGCGTTTGCTCTGTTGGGTCATGACCAATCCCAACAATCATAAGAAGAAGGCGCGCCACGTGAAACGCACCTGGGGCAAGCGATGTAATAAGCTGATCTTCATGAGCTCAGCCAAGGATGAGGAACTGGATTCTGTGGCCCTGCCCATTGGTGAGGGTCGCAACAATTTGTGGAGCAAAACAAGAGAGGCCTACAAATATATCTACGAGCACCATATCAACGATGCGGACTGGTTCCTTAAGGCTGACGACGATACCTACACGATCGTCGAGAATATGCGCTATATGCTATCTCCCTATAACCCAGAGACACCCGTCTATTTCGGCTGCAAGTTTAAGCCCTATGTTAAGCAGGGCTATATGTCTGGTGGAGCTGGATATGTGCTCAGTCGCGAGGCAGTGCGTCGCTTTGTGGTGGAAGCGCTGCCCAATCCCAAGCTATGCAAACAGGATAACACCGGCGCTGAGGATGTTGAGATAGGCAAATGTTTGGAGAATGTCAAAGTGCTAGCAGGCGATTCTCGTGATGCCAATGGACGTGGTCGCTTCTTTCCCTTTGTGCCCGAGCAGCATTTGATACCATCGCATACGGAGAAGCAGTTCTGGTACTGGCGGTACATCTACTACAAGACAGATGTGGTCTGAGTTTTAGATTAGATATCAAACTTGAAGTGCTTTATTAATAGAGCTCCTCATCTTCTTACAGGGTCTGGATTGCTGTTCGGACTACGCTATATCATTTCACTATGTCTCGCCCAAACTAATGTATGTCCTGGACTATTTGATATACCATTTGCGACCATATGGCATAGTTAATAGGCCAGATGTATTGCCCAATAAGCTGGCGGTGGGCGAACTGATGCCAGCGCCCAAAGAGCCGAAGGTGATCGAATTGCCCAAGCCGTCGGAGGAATCGATGACCGAACCGGAAAAGGAAACGCAATGAAAAGGAAACACGCGATGTTTTGCAATGTATATAGAACTTGTGTAAATATCGTTCGATCGACTTAGATCCAACTCAGTTTAACATACTTTTTGCATTTCCATATGTTGCTCTTGAGTCGTACAAAACAAACACAAACAAAACAAGTAAGAAAACTCTAGTCGAGAGTGCTCGACTAGATACTACCCTGAACCCAACTTATAAAAATGCCCATTTAGTATGGCTAAAATTTCAATTTCGATGTATTTAAAATATAAAAATATTTTGAACCAATTAAAAAAATTAACATAAGTCGCAGCGCTCGGGATTCGAGCCCGCGACTTTTCGATCGAGCGTCATGCCGCTAACACACTACGCCACCTTACTTCTGGAAGCTGCGCTGGCAAAACTCAAATAGATTCACTGCTGCAGCGCCATCTACCAAAACTAAACCAAACTAATAGCTGATGTGATTTAAAGAACGTTCCAGAAGAAGATTGAATGCATGTGTGTACACGTATACGATGCTGCTGCTGCACGTGCGTTTGTTATATGGCCAAATATTTGATGATTTTTAATTAATTTTTGACTGAATGGAATTTAATGAAATGATCTACATTTGAGAAATTTAAAAAAATGAAAAATCATTCACAATTAGCTGTAGTGGCATCTGATTTGAACTTAAATGTTTTTATTCGATAAAAACATAACGGGATGATTTATCGAATTTTAAAAGCAAACTCGACATCCGCGCTGTATATACGGCCATTTAAAAAAAAATTCAAGTCTCTAGCTCTTATATCTTCTGAAATCGACGCGTTCATACATACGGACGGACGGACGGACAGACAGACGGACAGGGCCAAATCGACTTAGCTCGTCGCCCTGATCAAGAATATATATGTGGGGTCTGCAACGCCTCCTTCTGCCTGCTACATACATTTAAGAAAACCATTATACCCTGATTTCCCATTGAAAATTTCAGGGTTCAGGGTATAAAAAACACAAGTCTTGGGGATTTAGAGAGTTGGGGAGAGGTCTTCAAGGCATTTACCAGTCGGGCACTCCCAACTATCATGTACAATTTTTAGGATTATCTTTTTTAATTGAAATTGACTTCCGATTAAATTGAAATCATTAGTTGATAAACACAAGTCTATACCGGCTTCTGATCACTCAACATACAATATGATTCATTTTGACTTCGGTTCACATAGCCGTATCAATTAGTTTAATGCATATAAGATAAACGACTGCCCAGCTCATGGCAAGTAAAAACCATATGTCAATTCAACAATGGCAATTGTTTTACTTTCGGTTCTGTTTTCTGTTGATAATGTAAATGTAAATTCTACCTTTTCCATTTACGGGTAGTATTAATATAGCTAAAATAAATTCGAAAATAAATAAAAGAATATCAACAATGTTGATTATACTCGATAATAATTTAAGAACCTGCAGTATAATCCAAGGTAGGATCAGTTAATTATCGCAAGCGAAAGCTGCTACTTGGTTGATGATAAAAAGTGCTTTTGAAAAACGTTAAAGATATACATATATTGAATTCAAGGGGTTCAAATATTTCAACCAATACGGGTTCAGAGCAAAGTAGAAGTTCTTCAATCAATATGTAATGTAATTAATTTTGTGTTCTAAGTGCTATATAAAATTTACAAATTTATTACATTTGATAACATTAAATTTTATTAAGGTGCTCAAGAAGGTGTTGTCCGGTAAATTAAAATTAATTAACCGATAAATTGATATAATTCAATACATTTTAATTATTAAATCTAATAAATGAAATTAGAATTTTTCCAAATATTAATTTGTTGAATTAGTAATATTAAATACTGTATTAATTAAAGTAGTTTGTCAGTTAACTGATTATTTATTTAAATTAATATTAATATAGAATTAATTGAGTTGATTTCAATAATTGAAGTTATTCAAAAATTAAATTTATTAATAATGTTTTGTGAAGTATATTATACAATTTGGCTAAAGAACATTTTATAGATTATAACGAATCAACTAATTACAATATAGAGTATAAGCAGTGTATGAGCTTATAGATATCGACAACATATATAGCCCCAACAATGACTGACAATAGCCTATTGGGACGATCCCTATTTAATGAAAGTGAGTACCATATATAAGCCATATATTTACATATGCTATATCCCAAATTTTATGCCATCTTCTTCTTCTTGGAGGGCGATGCAGCAAACGTTCGTTAGTCTTACTGATTGTCGGTCTGGTCGCTGGCTTCTGTCTGGCCGAGCTGTTTGTCTACTCATCCATTCCGAAACGTTGCGATGTCAACGGCGACCATTCCAATCAACACATGCAGAATTTTTCTCGTCCCAAACAGGATATCGACTCGCCCGAACATTCAAATGACGAAACAAGCCTTGCCGAAAAGTTGCATAGCGAAATACGTGTTCTTTGCTGGATTCTGACAAATCCCTCCAATCATAAGGCAAAGGCGATCCATGTAAAACGCACCTGGGGCAAGCGATGTAACAAGCTGATCTTCATGAGCTCAGCCAAGGATGAGGAATTGGATTCTGTGGCCCTGCCCGTAGGCGAGGGACGCGACACCCTGTGGGGCAAAACGAAAGAGGCCTACAAATATATCTACGAGCACCATATCAACGATGCGGACTGGTTCCTTAAGGCTGACGACGATACCTATATCATTGTAGAGAACTTGCGCTATATGCTATATCCCTATAACCCTGACACGCCTGTTTATTTTGGCGCAAGATTTAAGGCATACGTCAAGCAGGGCTATATGTCTGGTGGAGCTGGATATGTGCTCAGTCGCGAGGCAGTGCGTCGCTTTGTGGTGGAAGCGCTGCCCAATCCCAAGGTATGCAAACAGGATAACACCGGTGCTGAGGATGTTGAGATAGGCAAATGCTTGGAGAATGTTAAAGTGCTGGCAGGCGATTCTCGTGATGCCAATGGACGTGGACGCTTCTTTCCCTTTATACCGGAACATCATTTGCGAGCCGTTGTTAACAAAAATTTCTGGTACTGGCAGATGATCTACTATGACACAGATGAGGTCAGAGACCCTTAGTTTAGTTAATAGTACTATAAGGCGACTTAAAAAATAATTTGTTAACAAACGCTCGCATCTGTATTTACAGGGTCTGGATGGTTGCTCCAATTATACTATATCATTTCATTATATCGACCCCAATCAAATGTATGTGCTGGACTATTTAATATATCAGCTACGACCATATGGCATAATCCATAAGCCCGATGCATTGCCCAAGAAATTGGCATTGGGCGAACTGATGCCAGCCCCACAAGTTCCAGTGGAGTCCCAAGTATCAGCAGAGTCCAAGGATTCGAATACAACCGAAACAGTAACGAAAGCGAAATGATTTTAGATGTTTTGTCATGTCAAGAGATCTTGTGCGAATATATCTGGATCAGACTCAGTGTAGGATAATTTGCCATTTTTATATGGGCTCCTGTATTCGTTAGGCTCACTTTATGAACCAGTGCTCTAGGTTGCTTAAATGCAAAAATAAATAATACGAAATGACGAGACAAGCGCTCAAGAGCGTTTTAAATTTGTCCTAGCTCTTATGCTCTTATGCTGATCCGAATTGATCTAAGGGAAGCAATTTATAAACTAACTTTCTTATTTAACTATTTTATAATATCGCCATTAACTAAGTCAGTAAGTAATTATTACTCAATTTAATTACAATATAATTTCATTATCATGGTTTTTAACTCGTTGTCTTCAACAACCTTTTCAACAATTGAGTTAAATTAAACTGCTTGGTAAGCAGTTAGGCCATTTCCCAACTGCTTGCTAGAAGCACTGCTTGCGTTCGTTTACACGTCAATCAGCTTTAAAATGTAGGAAATTTTCACATCTAATACAGATATGTATTACCTTACTTATAAATGGTATATAAAATTAAATTTCACGCGAAATATACAATTTTTTATTTTAAAAACATTTCATATAAATAATTATATAAATCGAAATATATTTGTATTTACTTAATTTTATAAACTGTATTTAATATTTATATTTAAAACGATATATTAAAAAAACAAATTGTTAAAACATATATAAGGTATAGATAAGGTGCGATGAAATGATGTATATATATAGAATTTATAATTTAAATACCGTCTGTCATTTGTTGACTTATAAAATAAAATTCGAGTTCTATGTTTGATTAGCTTTTGTAGAGCATAATAAAAATGGAGCTGCATTATACATTAATTAACTTGAACAATTGTTTTTTCTTTCTTTCTTTTTTTTTTTTTTTTTTTTTTTTTGCAAGATAAATAAAGACCTTAAATAAAATTTAAATGGACTCCATAAAAAGGGACCCAAAGCCTGCTTCAAGTTCTAGTATCACAGAGAATTCGCATTACTTCAGTTCAGCTATAAATATTACTTGGGAATAATATAAAGTCATATTTATATAATGATTTTTGAAGCTCGTTTATGTTATATTCTTATCATTGGCATTATTGCGGGCTTCGTTTTAACTCAATTGGCCTATAATAGATCTGATATCCGAGTCATTCAATTGGAAATCCAAAAACCGAATTACTTGTCAGAGGGCCCACCAATGCCTATCAATTCTAACCATCACAAGGACAACATTTTACAAATGGTAAAACGAAAATGGAGCAAACTGTATAACTATTTCTATTTTACAATTAATGGAGTCTCATCTAAGTCTACGGATAAGTTGAATTCGAGGCAAGATCAGCGAAATTCTTGGCATAAACTTCAGGCAGCTTTTAAACATATCTACCAATACCATTCCAACAAAACTGATTGATATTATCCATCGACTAATCGAGAAATTGTGATATAAACTTGTACTTGATCGCAAGATACTTATGTCGACATGTCGATATAATCGAAATCCAAGTTTAATTTCATAAACCTGTGCCCTAAATTCTTTACAGCTGCAAACGTGATTTATTGTATTAGTGATAATATAATATTACGATGATAAAATAAATAAATATTACAAAATATTAATATTGTAGAAAAGTAATCTATGAGATATATATACATACATACTATCTAAATAAGATAATTCTGAAAAATATATTTACTTAACTGGACTTCAAAAAGGCAATGCGTTTAGTATTTTAAGTGTTCTATATTTATTTTTAATACTTGGGAAATAATTTAAATATAAGATCGAAAAATAATATCTTATAATACTTAATACTCATAATCCAAAAATGGAATTGGAATTGAAGTGAAGAAGATTCCTATCAGAACATATTTTCAGCCACCTCACACAAATGCAGAACGATCACTGTAGACTCTCTCTGCAATAGATTTCGCACAAGCCACACAAGATATGGTTTCCACTGTAACCATATTCCAAATTCTAAGCGACATAAAATGTTATCTATTCTACATTGGCGACGTACGACATCAGCTAATTACCATTTAAGTTCTGTAACAACAACTAGGTCAATAAGTATATGCTCAATCTTTCCTTCTTCTTAACACTATTATTATCTCTCACTTCTTATTATCTTTTTCCCTTTCCTTCTGACATTGCCTAAACAAATATTTCTTAGCTTGATAATGCGACGTTCACTTAAAATTAACATTTTAAGATTTTTGACAATAGTCTCATAGTTTTCGGGCTCGTGTTTAGTCAATGTGTTTAGTCAATTGAACTAAACAATTGAACAACTTCATTGAACTAAAGAAGATACAATCTGAACAAGTTAAACGAGCATTGGCAACTGTTTAGATCATATCTTCATCCTTTTGAAACAAGGGTTTCGGCCTTTAAGTATGTTTCGTATGTTAAATAAAAAAGTTCATAATGACGACATCAAGTTTGCTGCAAAGACAAGGTATTCAAGTGATAATAATAAAAGTAAATATGATTTATTTAACAAAAAATAAACATTTTTAGCGCATCGTAAAATCTTTACGCTCGCTGTCGGCTTAATTGTGACAATTTTATTAATTAAACTCTACTCAGCACCGTTTCAAATTGATGTGTTTGACAGTTTTAGCAGCAATGAATAACAAAACAAAATTAATGCCAAATTTGATAAGGATATTAATGAGAAAAGAGTCCCCGAAAATGATATAAGAAGAGCAGAGCGACTAAACTTATTTGAAAGCAAAACCTAAGAATTTATAGCATTGAGTTATCTAAGATATTTTTCAACTATGATAATTTATCTTTATGCTCCGTTGATATGTACAGTGAATTCGTATTCAGATACTCAAACAAAACAGTGTGGAACAGAGAGCAAGCTAAAAAGTAAATATCTACAAAATAAAAACATTATTTGATATCTGCATTCATAAAAGAATGATCCACGGTGTTTTCACAGCTGTTGTCTATTAATTCGGTTGCCTATTGAACTACATCTCATATAGCTCTTATTATGCACGATTAGTTGCGTCTGTAACGTGAAATACTTCAGTGCACGTTCGTTAAAGAAATAAATAAATTAACTTAGTTTATAAGACATTTCCTTTCAAAATTTCCAAAAACTTATAAACAAAAATATTTTTAAAAATAAAATAAAAAATATGTGTATAAAATAATTTATATAAATAATCTTCTGTACTCAACAAAATAATAGTGAGTAAAACAATTATTTTATAAAAAGTTACAACAAAATAAATTTAAAAAATTACAAATTTTAAAATTCAACATTATTCAAGTTAAAAATAAAAAAAAGGTCAACATGTTAAAAGTTTATAAAAATGCAATTTTTTAAACAGAACATTAAAATTTTAATCTAAAAATACAGACCAGCTTTAATATCATGAAAATGCCTGCATCTTCTATACTATATGAGGGTAATAAAACCAACTTTTAATAAAATAATACCAAATTATTTAAAGAGGAATATTTTAGGAAATCCACCAAAAACTCGCTCCTTACTGACACTTCTCATTGGAATGCTAATAGGATTTTGTGTGGCTGAGCTTATATCTTTTATGACTATAACTGAAGATAACGAATCTATCAATACTTTGGCCAGCAATGAGCAACACATTCAGCAACCGACGGCCGATGTTGGAAAACCTAATTTAGGTGTGATCGAACACGAACATCCACACGACAATACATCGCTTGCTGATCTGTTGAAGAGGGAGGTGCGTTTGCTCTGTTGGGTCATGACCAATCCCAACAATCATAAGAAGAAGGCGCGCCACGTGAAACGCACCTGGGGCAAACGCTGTAACATTTTGCTATTCATGAGCTCCGCGGCAGATGATGAGCTGCCCACAGTCAAGTTGGACGTAGAAGAGGGTCGACCGAATTTGTGGAGGAAAGTAAAGGAGGCCTTCAAGTATGTCTACAAGCATCATTACAACGATGCGGATTGGTTCTACAAGGCTGACGACGACACCTATGCAGTAGTTGAGAATCTGAGATATATGCTATATCCCTATAGTCCAGAGACGCCCGTTCACTTTGGCTGCAAGTTCAAGCCCTTCGTTAAGCAGGGATATATGTCGGGTGGTGCTGGCTATGTGCTCAGCAAGGAGGCACTGCGAAGGTTTGTGGTCGAGGGCATACCCGATCCCAAGATGTGTCTACCTGGCACCGTTATCAACGAGGATATCGAGATTGGCAAATGCATGGAGAATCTGAATGTGACAGCAGGCGATTCTCGTGATGTGAATGGGCGTGGTCGCATGTTTCCCTTTGTGCCGGAGCATATATTAATACCCTACAAGGATCCGAATTTTTGGTACTGGAAATATATCTACTACAAGACAGACGATGTGAGTTGCAGACGTGGAATACAATTACATTTTTCCTATATATATGTACATCTTTCTTTTAGGGTCTCGATTGCTGTTCGGATAATGCGATTTCTTTTCACTATGTTCCGCCCAACTTCATGTATGTGCTGGACTATCTGATCTATCACCTGAAACCATTTGGTGTGCTGAGGACAGAGCGATTGCCGGCCAAACTAAAAGTGGGTGAGTTTATGCCGCCGCCAAAGGAAGAACCCGCCAACAGCAACGAGGATTCTATGGATGACTATGACAGATTATATACAACTGAACAGCCAGTAGAACCAGATGCAAGAGAAGTAGACTAAGACAAAGACGACATTGAGAAGGAGCTCAAAACGGAAAAGAATTTGCGAACGACGAAAAAGCCAAAAACATGAGGATGATGAATAGCAAAGAGAAATATAATACTTAAGCTTTAGGATTCTTTAAATACTTAACCCATGTATAATATAATTATAGAAACAAATAAAATCACTTACCCATTTAAGTAAACTTTTTTAGATAAACGTATTTATATTGGATATCCAACTACATATATTAATTAAACCTCTGTAAATTTAGAGGGATACATTTTTTTTATTAAGAAGAATTAGTGAAACAATTACTTAAAAATCTTATTTTTAAATATTATAAAAACTGAAAAATTAACAATTTGTCAAGTAAAAAGAGTTTTAATAAAACATATTAGTTAGAGAAAAAAAAACAAAAACAATTGAGAAATTAAATCATTATAATAATAACTTTTCTTTTCTATTGACATATTTTAATTTTTTAAGCTATCGGATGTAAGGTATATTTATATTTATGATCAGACCAGGCCTATTGAAAACATATTCCAAGTTGAAAATTTTTAATTTAGGTAGCAGAATCTCTCAGCACGCCTTAGTGGGCGTACACATATAATTTTGCTATCGATCTTTATAGATTCGAAACATTAGATTACGTGCAAAATTTCAGCGTTCTAGTTTTAAAACTCTAGAAAATACTAATTTACCCGATTTGCCACGGCCCTAATAAGTATAGATATATCCGCCATAACTTTTTGAACTTGGGTGGCCAACACTAATCTACATTCAAAATTTCAGTTTTATAGCTGAATATTATGATTCAAATAATATGATTTCTGACATATCGGAAAATTCAATTTACGATTTGCCACGCCGTTAGTGGGAGGATCCGGAAAATTTAAACAGTTAATAAATCGAAGATTGCACGAGCATGTGTTCCACAGGCCCTAGCTTCAAAAGCGCCGAAAAAAATCCGTTCATACGGACGGACGGACATTGCACAAAAGCAATATACTCATTTCACTTTCGTAAATAAGTATAACAATTTGAACAAGATACCACCCCATTTTCTTTTTGTTGAAACAAGTGTTTCGACCTGTGAGCTCGTTTTATATGTGAAATATTTCTCAAATTCTCAGTGATAGTTAAAACTTCATAATGACGACATCAAGTTTGCTGCTAAGACAAGGTATTTAAATGATAATAATAAAAGTAAATATGATTTATTGAATTATATATAAACATTTTTAGCACTTCATAAAATCTTTACGCTCGTTGTGGGCTTGATTGTGACAATTTTATTAATTAAACTCTATTCAGCACCGTTTCAAATTGATGGGTTTGACAGTTTTACCAGCAATGAATTTCGAACCAAACTTGATAAGAATATTAATGAGAAAAAAGTCCTCGAAAATGATATAAACTAAACTTAATTGAACTTTTGATTTTAACATTTTCAAAATCTGTAAAAAAAAAAAAAAAAAAAAAAAAAAAAATGAAATTAAAAAAATATGTGTAAAATAAGTAATAAGTAATAAGATTAATAATAAAATTGAACATTTTGTGTACTCAAAAAAACAATAATGAGTAAAACAATTAATTTACAAAAAGTTAATATAAATTAAATTTTAAAACTTTCAAATTTTAACATTAAATTAATTAAAATTGAAAACAGGAAAAAATAATGAAAAGAATAATTAAATAAAACATTTTAATTTCAATTACCTATTAAACACAAATATATAATTGTTATTTTTTATAATCATATTTCAAATATATCACAACTTACATTTGCACCATTCACTGATATTTGTTTTTGTTCTATGTATAATTGTTATCTCACTTCACTTCGCAAATGCGCACTTTATAACGTCAAGACGATCAAATCCAGTGGCATTGCATTAGCCAATTGCATGTGTTATATTAATATATCTGTAATATTATATAAATGAATAATTATTCAATTTATTTATTTCCCTTTGCAGAACCATAACACAGCCATCCTAAGCGCAGCCGCAGCATAAATTGCGCAGCAGATCATGCGCTTTTGCGTGTGCGTACGCGTATGCATGTGTGTGTGCGCCGGTAATGTGTGTTTACGCCGGTCAAATGTGTGGACATGAAGAGTAGAATGATGAAATTAGAGCTTTACGCAGGTTTTGAGGTAAATTGAATTCGAGCACTACCAACTACAGGAGTTTTGTTTATATTGGATGCACTTTTACTTTTGTTACTTTCTTGGCGCGCAGTAGACAAAAGAGCCGCAACTAATAAACGCGCTCACGACGATCACAACGAGAACACACTAGTTCAGTTGGCACTAGTTCTAATCAGAAACAAGTTTCCCAAAATATATAACGGTTTAGCTTTAATAAATTAACAAAAGTCTTTAGTTCGCTGCTATGCTTATTAGATGTAAGTCTTGTAAATTCTATTATTTTTACTCACTTTTTCTTTAATACATTGCGATACAGCAGCTATAGATCAGTTAAGATATTCGTATAGTAAAATATTTGTGGCAGCGCAATAATTTCAAACCAAAGTCAATTCAGCAATCTGGCAGCGCTGTGCTCATTTGATGACTCTCGGAACCAGTGAACGAGTAACTTGAGCTCATTTAACCAGTCTGGCAGCACGGGAAAATAACTGATTTAAAATGCGCTAAAACTAAATTTAGAAATGTTGCTGGAACGTCTAAAGCGCATTTTGGGCCCTACGTTCTTTTCATTTCTTATTTGGGGCTTAATTTTTTTCGCTTTCGTCGAATTTTACCTATTTATATTCAGTAGTAGGCGCATTGCCATACAGGACTACCTGCAGCCGCCCTACAAAGAGAACATTCGAGACGTCAATGTGGGCAATCGGACCGAGAAGTGGGACAATCACAGCATTGCCAATGAGCTCTATCATAAGGTCCGCATCCACTGTCTGCTCCACCTAACTAACGATCGTGAGCGCCTCAAGGCCAAACACATCCTTAAGACGTGGGGCACTCGCTGCAATCGAATGCACATCAGCGACGTGTCCAATGTGAACAAGGCATATCGACGCATTGCCAGGACACAGTATGAGGACTTGGATTGGCTGCTGCACGTGCACGTGGATAGCTATGTGATCATGGAGAATTTGCGTTATAAACTGGCCAGCTATCGGCCCGAACGAATGATCTATTTCAGCGCCTACCATGCGGCCTATCCGTATGCCCACGTCAGCTTGAAGAACACCACAGATTACATATTCAGTCGCAGTGCACTGCAAGAGATGTTGAGAGTATCGAATGATGATTACCTTGCCAACATGGAGCAGGGCCCCAACGAACAGCTCTTTCCATTTCAGGTGCCCGCAGAGATTCTGCCCTTTACGCTGCGTTGTTACTTTTGGAACTGGCCATTAATCTATCGCGCCGTATACTCCGGACAGGTGAGTAAATCTGGTGTACATATTTCTAATTTATTTTATTCATTTCTCTGATTGCACAGGGCTTCGATAGCAGCATGAAAATGCCTATAATTCTACCATATGTCGATGTGAATCAGATTTATGTTCTGGAGTTCATGCTCTACCATTTGCGTCCGTATGGCCATGTCAACGGCATGCCCGCCCTGCCTGCAGGATCTGTTATGCAGCAGCCTGCGCTGCCCGTCAATGATAAAGTTAAAACACGGCTCTACAGAGAGGTACGCATTCTCTGCATGGTGTTCAGCTATCCACATAAATACGAGCAAGTTGTGCGCACCATACGCAAGACCTGGGCGAGGCACTGCAACAAGCTGATCGTGTTCAGCACTCAGACGCCGAAGCAGCGGGGCTTTGAGGAAGCTTATACCATAGCCTTGAATGTCACCGAGGACTATAAGCATCTGTGGGGCAAGACGAAGGCGGCCTTTAGGCATGTCTACACTCACCATTTGGACGAGGCAGATTGGTTCTATAAAGTGGATGACGATACCTATGCCATTCTGGAAAATATGCGCTTTATGCTGTTTGACCATGATGCCGATGAGCCCATTTACTTTGGCTGCAATTTCCAGGCGGAGCACAGAGGACCCACGTATATGTCTGGCGGTGCTGGTTATGTCCTTAGCAGGGAGGCAGTGCGACGCCTGGTTGAAAATGGAATCTATAAAAACCGATGCAATCCCAACTCAATTGGCACCGAGGACTACGAAATGGGCGTTTGCTTACACAATTTGAATGTAACTGCCGGCGATTCGAGAGATAAATTTAGACGCTATCGTTTTCTGCCAGTTGGATTGCCCAAAATGCTCGTACCGGGCATCATAGATAAACAGTATTGGCTTTATTATTATGTCTACTTCGTATTCAAGGAGGTATGCGCTGTAATCATATTCGTATTGTATTATTTTTATATAATAAATCCATTATTATAGGGCATTGAATGCTGCTCATCCTACATCATTGCCATACACTATGTGGTCTACTATCAGATGTATATATTTGAATATTTTCTATATCAAATGCGTCCATATGGCATTATACTGGGTCATGAGCCGCTTGCCAATCGTAGACTGAATGGAATTTAGCTAGATGTGGAAGGTGTGAAGGTGCATACATTTCAAAAAGAAAAGCTAATGGAGTTTACTTGTATCAATTTTTACAGATATTCTATTAGCTATTTCTAGAGGGAGTTTCACAGTGTATACTATATATGTAATGTAATCCAGACAACTTTAAATGAGGCTATGTCTTTGGCATAGTTTGATGCAGTCCTTTACTTGAGATGACCATTTCCGAAATTTCCATACGTTCAACTCAAGCCAAACGGACGTAGTTTATAAACCATATATTCCATGACATAAAAACATTTAATAGTCACACAGTTAAATGTTATGGCCGACTTTGAGCAGCAGCCGAGTGTAATCTGTAAGTGCATGAGAAATTCGTATAGATATTTGAATATTAATTTGATGCATTTTAGTTGACCTACATTCACAAGTTTGTTCACGAACAGCGGCAGTCCGTGCGCATCGCTGCTGCTGCCAAGAGTCACGCCCACATTTCGAAAGCAGCGCGCAATCTCCACATGCTTAAGGCCATAATTGTGACTGCTGCAAATGGTGCTATTACCATGGCCCAGAGTCACAAATCGATGCAGCGCCTCTCTGCTAAACAAATTCCCACCTGAGCCACCTCTCGTATGCTGTTGGATAAGGAATAGGAAATTTTAGTATAAGACATTTTATTTTGAAACAAATTTTAGTGGGCAGCAAATTCCAAATTGAAATATACATTAATTGTTCAAGGTTAATTTTTCGTATATTATATAATTTCTAAAACTATTTCGAATATGTATAATTTTTTATACAATATGTAATCTTTAATTTCCCCTGCCAATTATCGAACCAATATCGAAGTGGTAGACAATAGACTATCGCAACTATCGCCAAATTTCTTTTTTACATGTCACAAAATGAAATTATCCCTACAAAATGATTTGGCCCAGCCACTTAGTTATAAATTTGTTTATTTTTTTTAGGGTGTCTTTTTTTTCCTTTTTATTTTCTCTCCAATAAATTATTATTTAACTAATTATTATAAGCCCACAAAGAAGTATCTGAGTAGTGAGGGTAAAAATTAACCTATACTCTTATTTTTTGTATTTCTATGGTGTGCTAATTGCAATTGCATGAATGCAGGAATAAATAATTTTTTTCTAATACTTAATATTAAGTATCTGTGTCAGTTAAGGCAGTTATTGTTTTAGTCTGGAGTTTCTAACTAATACCCTAAATACCCTGAGACCCAAAGCAAGCTATTGTTTCAATCGTTTTAGAATTCTGTATATTTCTAAAATGTTTCTAGTTCTCATGATCCTTAATTGATGCTTGACCAATAATACCGATAATAATCGCACTTTCAGTTTTAACTATATTCATGACTAGCTTTAGTTATTTGTATTTAACCACTCACATTTTCCTTTTGCGTATAAGTAAAGCTGTCAAAGTAGATGGGGAGTTCGGGCGAGTAGTCGATCAGCAAATGTTGCAGATTCTCCATGATCACATAGCTAAAAGGGAAATATGCCAAGAGTTTATCATTAGAAATGGGCAGACCGCTCGATGGCATTTACATACGTTTCATCGGTCACCATGAGGAACCAGTCGTATTGCCCATGATAATGCGTATAGACATGATGCAGATATTCCCGAGTGCGACCCCAAGAGATACTGCTGCTGCTCCACCTGGTGGTGCTGCTGCTGCGGCTGCTGTTGTTGGGTTGCTGATTCTTGTTGCCATTTAGGATGAGCAGCTTGTGGCATCGCTTGCCCCAGGTGTTCTCAATGTGCACCTGTCGCTTCTTACCCACCGGTCGCACCGTCACCATGCAGAGTATCCGCTGGCTCCCATTGTGATCGGAGGGCATCCTCCAGCGGTACAGGGTATGTGCAGTCTGTCCGTTGCTGCTGGCATCAGTTGAGGCGCTGCCATTGCTGGAGAATTCGCGCCGTGCCAGCTGCAGCAGACGCGAGATGCAGCCGCCAAAGATGAGACCCAACAGCAGCATCAGCAGCAGATGCAATCGCTGCTCTTGCTGCTTAACGACATGTTTGTACATTTTGCTTTGTTCTCTTTCTTGCTTGGCTAACGGTGTGCTGCCCTTTTGTTAACGCTCGTCTGTACTCTGTTTATCAAGAAAGAAAGAAAAGGTAAGAACAAAAGAAAGAGAGAGAAAGTGAGAGCGAGAGGGAGACAAAAAAAGTGAAAGAGATAGACAGTTTGAGGTTGACAGAGAGAACGAGAGAGGGAGAGTGTGTTGCCTTAGTTATGTACAGTAGTTGGTCGGGCGCAGTTAGAAAGTCACTTTAGAAAGCATAGTTGTACAGTCATTGCTTTAGAGTAACAATTTCAGAGCCATTCATTCAAAACGATTTTTTAAAGGGCTTACATTATTATTATTATATTTTAAATCTATGATGTTTAAAATTTACAACAACAGTTTTAGATTCATTGCTTTCAAAATTTAACTTTATTTATTTCAACAATTTCTATGCTCCCAAGGTCCAATTCATCTACACAATTTACAGTTTAAAGTCACAGGTCTCAGATTACAGTTCTAGAGTTATTTAAAATGTTGCCTTTATTCTATTTAACAAATAATAAATAATTTTATTACGTTTTGCAAGAAGCTACTGAGCTGTATTTTATTTATATATTTCTCTTATTATTTTTAATTATTTATTTATTATTATTATTATTTTTTTTAATTAATACACACTATTGAATTGGCTTTTGATGATTCTTTTTATTTAGATATTTATACATATATATTTTTAAATTAATACGCAGTGTTAGTAACAACAATGTTCACAGTTTTAGAGTCACAACAAAAATGCATAACAAAACTTTATTGTTTAAGAGTTCCAGTAACATTTCTCTGTTAAGCATTAACTCTTCGGGGTGCTAAAGCCACTGATTGAGAATTGCACTGATTTTCTGATTCATCATTAAAAAAAACAAAATATCACTTCGAAGTTTCAGAGAGTAACTTGTCACAATTTAAGAGTCATTGACTACAAATACCAATACGGTTTTAGAGTCATATTAACTATTAGTCGCCGTTAACCACAGTTTCAGAGTCACAGTGCACAGCGCACAGCGTTCCAGTTTTAGATTCCGTCACACCACATAGTTTTACAGTCACTAGAGCACTCTTAAAGCTCCTTGCAACACTGGCAAAGGGTATTGTGAAGTCGGCTTAAAGCTGTATTTTTTTCTAGTTTTTTTTTATATTTTCTGTTTTGTTAAGCTTTTTATGCAAATACAACAATGTATATGTTTATGTAGATGCCGACATTTGGACGTTGTTGTTGCGGCCTATGTTATTGTTGTTGTTGTGATTGTTGAAATACCAAATTAACACATTCTTGTGCACTGACGCAGCAGCCGGTAAAGGCAAAAGCCAAAAAAAAAAACAACTTTAATAAACAAAAAAAAAAAAAAAAAAAAAAAAAAAAAAAAAAAAAAAAAAAAAAAAACTTGTAAGATGCGGTTGACCTTCAGGCCAGGTCCGCTTCACACACGCTGCCTGTTGCACCTCTTTATTTAATTGTTTTTGTTTTCCTTCGTTGGCACAATTCGATTTGCAATTGCTAAATTGTTAAACTTTTGCTAGCTGTTTGCCGGTTTGCGTCTTATTCTTCTTCTTCTTCTGATTTTTCATTCGGTTTAACTGTAGGCCACCGTCACAAATCGCTGGCTCCTCTGCCACAGAGCAACGTACATGTGTGCGAGCGGGAAAGAAAGAGCGAGGGACCGATCAAGCAAGGGGGTGGGGGAGTGCGCGCGTTCAATTATGCGACGTTCGTACCGTTTCGTTTTGTTTATTTACTCGTCGAGTCGCCGCAGCAAACACACACACACACACCCACACGTAAAGAATATATGCTTGTATGTGTATAAAACAAAAATAAATACAAACAACATAAATGTCGCTAGCATATATAAACAACACGGCACAGCGCGACGTCGACTTAACGCCTTGACGACCGTTGACAGACTTGCGATGTGTTTTTTTTTCTCTCTCTCTGCTTAAGTTTCAGTTTCTTTATGTGTTTTTGTTTTTGTTATTTGGTACGTGCGCGCTACGATCCAAACGACACTTGATTTGCGAACCAGTGTGACCATAATGTTAAAGTTTAGAGATGTGCAGCTATGCAAGTGATGACAGTCTGAGTGGGAGTAAGAGTGAGCCATGGCTCATATGCACAGTGGAACTTGGAGTTCAAAATAGCCCGAAATGCGTTACGGAAATAAAAGTTTTAAAATATTAAATCAAATTTTAAATTTAATTTTAATAATTAATTTAAAGTTTAAATATAATTTTAATATTTAATAATTTAATTTATATTAAAATAAGGTTTGAATTATAGGTATATGAAATTTATTAAAATAATATTAGTATATTTTATAATTTAAATTAATATTTAATTCAAATCACATGTCTTTCATATTAAAGTAACTAATGTTTTTTTTATTTATTCAGTTATTTTATTAGGTAATTAAATTAAAGTTATGTTTAATTTTTAATTAATAGTATTTGATATATTTATTTCATTTCATTTCAGTTATTATACCCTGAACCCATTTTCAATGGGAAATCAGGGTATAATGGTTTTGTTGAAATGTATGTAACAGGGAGAAGGAGGCGTGGTAGACCCCACAAAGTATATATATTCTTGATCAGGGCGACGAGCTGAGTTGATTTGGCCCTGTCCGTCTGTCTGTCCGTCTGTCCGTCTGTCCGTCCGTCCGTCTGTCCGTCTGTCCGTATGTATGAACGCGTCGATTTCAGAAGATATAAGAGCTAGAGACTTCAAATTTTTTTTTAAATGTTCGTAATTACAGCGCGCATATCAAGTTTATCATTAAAAATCGATAACTCATCCCGATCTTTTTTTATCGATAAAAAACCTTATCGAAAACCAGTTAGAAAATTATATCTTCTACACCTTTATTGCTAGAGTCTCCAAATTTTTAATGTATGCTTATATGCAATTTATACAATTTCGGTTTTTGTTAAAATTTACCCCCCACCCTTAAATTCACCCCCTCACCCTCACTTTTGTAAAAAGCGTATTTCAATAACTAGAGACTTGTGCTTTAGCAATTACATGCATATCCATGTCATAATCATAATCTGAAAGTTTCATGAAGATCGTACGTCCACAAAAAAGTTATTAAGCAATTAAGTTCTCAGAGTAAGCGCTCACTGCCGCCCATGCGTGTTTATGCTTGTGTGTGTATATGTATGTAATTGTTTGTGTATGTGTGTGTGTGTGTGTGTGTGTGTGTGTGTGTATGTGTGTATTATGTGTGTGTATGTATGCCTGTGTGTGCGTGCGTGCGTGCGTGTGTGTGTGTATGTGTGCGTGTTTCTTGTGTAAGCTGAAAGACGCGAAAAATTATTGAAATAGCTATTACTCCAAGGGTTCAGGGGATCTCGTAGTCGAGTAGTCTCGACTAGAGCTTTCTTACTTGTTTTTACTTGTATTACCATTAATATATTTATGAAATTTTTTATATCAAGACCATATGAGAAAATAAAAAGCAGCAACATAACATATTAACTATTAAATGTTTTATATTATCAGTATAAATATTACTAAACTACCCCGTATGGCTTTAATAAATCAAAATATCAAACAAATATATAACATAATATAAAAAGCATTCTCAGCGGAAAAAAATTTAGTCATGGTTTTATATAGGTTATTATCAATCGCCTAAAAGTATGCTATTAGAATATAAAAATGTCAAATTCATTTTAAGCTGCATTTTCATTTTAAGTTATACCATTTTTGTATTTTTTAATTATTTTTAGCATTATGTATATATGTATTGACTAAAAAGTCTCAAATGTATTATAATACGAAATATTTTATTTTTCACACAAATTTTATAGATAATAATAATATTAGTTATATAATTTCTAATTTGTGGACCTCGAACCACTTCCAGCTTAGGCATAAAGGCCGCCATTCGGGTCACGATTATTCACCGCATTCACATAACTATCGGCTGAGATGGCTTTCAGCGAATTATCCAAGGACTCAATAGCCGCTTGGTCCACTGAAACCTGGGCAACGGGCGAGCGATCGTCGAGCTGCACATTGGACGATGCTATAGCCAGTTTCTTCAGCACATAGGGCACCCGTCTGACAATAGCATTGAAGCCGTGCACATCGTCCGCCGTATAGGTAACGATTCTCTTATAACCATCGGGATCGATGAGGCTATACGAGCCGCGCACCGAATAACCATCGCGTGTCTCCCGATGATCCTTGATATCGCCCGTGCTCTGATCATTGACGGCATAGTCGTAGCTGTAGCTGGCGGGTGGAAATATTTCCGGCTGCCTCGGTTCGTGCAGCACGGGCAAAGGCTGGGGGAATAGCGGAACAGATGCACTTGCTCCTTGTGCCACGGCACTATTGCTATTCCCCAACTGGGCATTGTAATCATAGCCAGCGGGCGTGGCCTGCGAATTTTCGGCAGTCGTGCGTGTTGCCTGATAATCGGTTTGGTAATCCTCGACAGAGTTCGATGCAGACTGTTCCAATGAGTTGACATCATTTATATTTAGTTTTCCATTATTATAATTATTATCATTATTATTATTATTTTTATCAATATTATTATTATTATTATTATTATTGACGGCGTAGTCCGCTTTAGCAATTCCAATTAGCGCTAAGGCTAGCAGCAGCAACTGCAAGGAGTTTGTTTAAAAATAAAATTTTCGAAATTTACTTCAATTTCAAAACTAACCTTAAAATCCATTTTAACTGTATTTTTATTTTTTGTGCTCTTCCGTTTGTCTGTACTCACAAATTGTCAGCTAACTACACTTTGAATTGACGTAGCTCATGGCTTTTATACCTCATTGCTCGACATATTACTTCATATATATCATCACTTACCGTTATACAATACCATGTTCATCAATGAGGTGATTAGATGTACTTTCATTTTTTTTTCGGTTTTTCTGTCTACGCATTATTTTTGTGCTGCGTAAGCTTTTAAAAATTGTGTGAAATGGCAATAAATGAAGACAGAACTGCGCGACATCCAATTAGCTGGGGGAAAGACAATTATTGATCCATATTTAAACTCATCTTTGGAATTGGCAAAATTATGTTATAGCTGTGTGCTGCCACCTGAGAAAATAATTGTAAAAGCTATAATGAAAATAATAATAATAAATAAAAAAAAACGAATACAATAGATGATGAATAGTTTGTTAAAATATACCAAAAACTTTATACGAATAATAATAATAATCGATGTTAAGTATTCATATCAGATTAAAATAAGATATTAGTATTATTTAGATTTTATTGTGTGGATAATAGATTATTTGATCAACCTCCATTAAAACAAGTTTTGTTTTATAAATATTTGACGAAATTACAGTTCAAAAATTCAACGTGAGCTTATTCAAATCGAACTAAAATTGAACAGTTTGCTGGCGTTGCCACCTGACAAATGTATGAAAGAATAATTCGGTTGTCTAGCAAATCCATCATACAAACGAAAGGGCAATTTGAATAATATGCATATATGGTCACACTGTCGCCGCGCCAATATTAGTGTGAGCAGTGCGAAACATCAAACCGGTCGTGAACTTTTGTACTATATTACTTTTGTTTGCTATATTAATGTGTTAAATGGTGTGTTTTTTTAGCTGCTACAATCGCAGGTTAGACGTCGCGTTGGGCAGAACATAACGCGGACGAAACAATGGTTAAGCTCAAATCGGGGCAGCTGCATCTGTTTACCGGCTTCGTAACGGGATTTGTTTGCGCTTTCATGCTGATTCTCAACATTTACGATGTGCACATTGACATCAGCTGTTGGTCGACCAGCAGCAGCAGCGATTGCTCCACCTCCACTGCAGCGCACAGATTTGAGCGAGATCTGGCGCCTGACATTCGTGTGCTCTGCATGGTGCTCACCTGCCCAGAAAATGTTGAGCTCAAAGCCCAGCACGTGCACGCCACCTGGGGCAAGCGCTGCAACAAGCTAATCTTCGTCAGCAGCGAGAACTATGAACCGCTGGGCGTCGTTAAGGTGGTCGAACCACATGCCGGCAGCTATACCGATTTGTGGGATAAGACACGAGAGGGATTCCGATATGTTTGGAGGGAATATGGCGATCAATACGATTGGTTTGTGAAGGCTGACGACGACACGTGAGTAGAGCTAGCGATGTGGGCGTGTCGATATTTTTTTTACCATGCACGAAAAAGACTTTTTTGAATAAAAGCGAAAGTGAATGAGTGAAATATTGAAAGCGAAAAGCAAGTAGTGAAAAAAAATATATAGAATCAATTGTGTTCAAAAAAGATTTTCTATGCCCATTATCTACATTTCATAGTTTTAGAGAAATTTCCCATTTAGAGTTATAAATACTTCATAAACGAAAGGGCAATTTGTAGAATTTATTTGCATAGTTAATAACCGTATATTAATAACATTACAGTTTGACAGGAAATTTATAATTTATAATTGACTAGTCCAAGACATACTTTGAGTATATTAAACAAAATTTTAATTTAAAAAAATTTAATGATAAATAAATAAATATTCTTAAATTAAATGATGAATTTACCCAAAGCCATTCGAAATATTTTTAACAAATTATTCGAATATTATTAGGTTATATAAAAATGTTTTTTGTAACCAATGTTTTTATACCATAATCAAAAGTACATATATTAGATTTGTTATAGCTACTCTAGCTATTTTTCTATTCTTCTATTGTGTCATCAAAATTTGAGAACAAAGTTTTTGTTATATAGTTTTTTAGCGCTCGATTAAACACTAATTTATTGCTATTGCTTTATATTTTATCCTCACAAACATAAATATTTATAAAATTTATTATAGACATTCTATTCTATTATTGTAGTTTTTAATATCATTGTCAATTTAGTCTCTTAGAGGTTTTTAAGTTATTTTTGAGATAAAACTTAAATTATTTTCGTGAAAGACAAAGTTATTATTATTAATTTGGTTGGTATCACATATTTGGAATTTTTATTTCTTTATAGCTACATTATTATGGAAAACATGCGTCGCATGCTCAGCGTCTATGATCCCGCCATGCCCCTATATTTTGGCTACCAGATGAAACGCTATAATGTGGTAAGTCTCAAATTACTTTTATAGCTTTGGTATTCTAACAAATAATTCGTAACTAAAATATAACATCTTAAATAAATTGGCATTCATTTTTGGCTCGGGCGACAAAACACATAATTCACTTAACAAATTGCTCGAAACCTGACTTTCGCTATGTTTGCGATTAATGCGGTATATTGGCTTTATTGTCAGTGAAATATATGTATGATAAAGGTGTCAGCTCTAGGGGTAGGGCTGTCAAGTTATATTTAAATTCAAATTTAACAATGTTTTCTCTTTTGTTTCTGGATTTCATCAATTATGTAATTAATTTATGACAAATCCAGAAATCAAAGATTCGGGAACAAAATTATTTATTCAAGGAATAGTTAGAACATTTGTCCAGAAATAATAAATCTAAATAAATCTAATTTTATTATTCACTGAAATTAAAGATAAATATTACAAATATACATAAATAAATTTATTTGTTTTTATTATTTATTTATTTTGATTTTAATTTGGTAGTTTTAATTTCAAAAATAGAATTTTAGCGAATAAGTATAAGATATAAAATGCAAAACTAAAATTTAATAAGTAATAAAAATAAAACAAAATAAAAATAAAAAATAAATTTACAAAAATTTAAAATGCAAAACTAAAAAAAAATTAATAATAAAATTAAAATAAAATAATTAAACATATCTATATTATAATACTCTAAATTTCTTCTCATACTATTTACATGACTGCACATTTATAAATATGATAGAAAGTATTTTGTTTGGCCATTTTAAATGCAAAGTTTTTTTAAACAATACTCAGTATGAGGGCCCGACTAACCGGTTGTCAGTTATAGCTGCGTTTAAATAACAATTTTTGTGGATGCCCGTTTAATGGGCTAGCTAATTAAAGATGCCTTAGCAAACAGCAAAAATATGTGTATTTTTATTTAAAATAATGACTAATGCAATCGTTAACATCTGCAACGCAAATGGCAACGGGCAGCAGTCAATCAGTTGTTGATGCACTGCCTCAAGTGTGTCCAATGCTCTTCTGCTTCGTCTTCAACTTCTTCCTCTTTATCTCTTGAGGTCGTTGAGGTTTCTTGTTATTTGGTTGCAGCCGCATCTCTGAGTGATTCTCTCAAGCTTTGTTTATTTTCTTGTTATTTATTTTTCCATTTGACATTATTGTGCAAACAGTTTGTAGGCGAAGTACGAACTATTGACCAACAGCTGGTAATTGTGGATGAGACTCGCATTTTCAGAGAATATTTGATAGGCGAACCATGTAAATAACAAATTAGTAAGAGCATTGCAAAATATTAACATACACGCATATTAGATATTTATTTTATATTGTAAATAAAATAATATTTTTGAATCGTCAAAATAAGGCCTAATAATATAAATAATAAATAAAATATGTTAATTGTATTAAAAAATCATTTTGTCTTATAATTTGTAATATCAAAAATATAAATATAATATGAAAATTAAAAATATAAAAAAATTAACAGTAGCTCAAAATTTTAATATGAAAAATAGATTAAATAATTTAATTTTGTAGATTAAATAATATATATGTATATATCTACGCCTATTAGGGGCGTGGCAAATGGAAACTGTATCTTGTACAGTTTTAAATCTAGAAAATATAAAATATCTTAATCATCTTAAAAAAGTAAATAAAATGAAAAGAATATGATCTTTATGCAAAATTAATTTAATATATGACTTTGTTAATACTAAATCGAAAACCAGAATAGTTCTATCACATTAAGTTTTCAATGTCAAAATACCTAATTTCCCTTTCTTTGTCATCAAGATGACTGAAAGAGGTTGAAAGAGATTGATCGAAAGATACAAATTAGTTATATCGATCGAGAGAGAGCAAGGGAGAGATAGAGTGGCAGTCGCTCTGTATATTTTAGAATTTGTAGTTTTCAATATATTTAACCTTGTGTTATTATGACTAATTGGTTATCGAATTATTACATTTGCATTAATTTTTTTGTGTTTTATAATCAGTCTGGCAAAACATAATATCGTCATTAAAACGATTGAGGAATGCATAAAACAACTTAAGTCCATGTTCACAGCTCAGCATGTAGCAAACTTTTATTCAATTACAAATGTTATACGACTAGAAAATATCCAATTTCGAATTGAATAGAGGTGTACATATGTAAATATTTTCCATGATTAGAAAAGAAAAAAAAGAAGCAAAAAATTGTATCGAGGTTTATTAACGCTGAAACAGACGCACAGTAGTAGATCTTATAGTCCATACACTATAGCAAAAACAATATACCCTATATCAATATTAAATCAATTCAGGGTATAGTAAGATTTTCGTGTTTCACAGAAACTTTTGATAATTGTTTAACTTTTGATAGATTTTCAAATTTCCATTGATTTATTATCTTGCTTAAGTTTCTGTCTGTTTTTTTTTTTTTTTTTCAAATATTAATTTCGTCTTTTGTCCATCAGACAGCCCAATTAGCATAAGTTAAATAACTTAATGGGCAGGGTTTTGTTGAACAAGAAATATTTCTCCCAGACCATAAATTTCGATGCACACATAAATATTAGAAAAAGGTCAGAGTTACTTTATATAAATATATATAATGAAATGTATTTACAAAAATAACTGAACAAACGACATTGTGTTCACATTTCAATTAAACATATATTTTTTGACACATCATCTTTGTCAATTATGTAGCAGACGCCCAAATGGCCTTCAAAGCGGCTTAAAACCCCCAAGTTGAAGCTATAATTGTTACGCTCGATCCGTTTTAATGGTAAACTCGTCTAGCATAGCCAATCGGTTGCACTCACATGATTTAAACGCATATTTTCGTGTATTTTGAACTATGAAATGTTACAAATGATTATGTGAGCGAAATACCTGTATAGACATTTACGTATGATATTTATATACATATTTTTAGTCACTCAATTTACATTGCAAATGAGTTTTTTGTATTCAGCATTAAATGCTGATTCTGAATTTCCTTATTAAGAAGGACAGCTTAGTTTGTATTATTATTTTATTTTATTTTATTTATATATCAATATTCCTACTTAAGTTGAGTCAAAATTTAATCCACTTAAATATGAAATGTTGTAGATAATTTAAATTAATTTTAGCTTTTTGTTGCAAATTTGGCATTTTTTTAAACGTTTATAAGTATAGATAATTTTCATATCCTGAACCCATTGAAAATAGGAAATCAGGGTTTAATGGTTTTGTTGAAATGTGTGTAACAGACAGAAGGAGGCGTGGTAGACCCCATAAAATATATATTTATTCTTGATCAGGGCGACGAGCTGGGTCGAGCTCTCCGTCTGTCCGTATGTTTGAACGCGTCGATCTCAGAAGATATAAGAGCAACAGTCAACACTAAAACTGAAAGTGAAAAAGTTGAGGCACGTGCTAAAATATAATTTTATCTAAGTATATAGAGATTTTGATTGGTTCTACTTAAGGAGATCAAACTTTTAACTTATGCTGCTTTTATCGTAATTTAACAATGTTAGTTATAGGAAACTAATATTTGTAAATTTCTTAAGTGATATTAATCTTCAAATAATAAATACTAGAGTTACATGTCCGGTGGCGCTTCGTATGTGCTCAGTCGTGAGGCACTGCATCGCTTTATGAGCGAGGCCTACAGCTCGGAGAAAATCTGTCCGGCAGTTAAGGAATGGGGCATTGAGGATTTCTATATGGGCGTGTGCCTACAAAATGTGGGCGTGCATTTTATAGACTCTCAGCGCGCATTGCCCGAAGAGAACAAGACAAAGTTTTTTCCACTCGATGTTGGGGAATTTGTGTCCACTAATAATGACAGCATTCCGGACTGGTTGCCACAGATGAGCGTTTCACGGATAGAAACAGTATGTGCTCCACTTGGAATTGTTCCATATATGTATAACTCCATATGTATATATAATCTCATATATTCATTATCATCTACAGGGCAAAGATTGCTGTTCCAATTATTCTATAGCGTTTCATTATATAACGCCGGGTCGCATGTATCTATTCGATTTTTTGCTATATCATTTGCGAATCTTTGGTCGCAACTACGAGGAGCAACAGCCAGCGCGACTTACAAATGACGAGGTGCTTGAACGGTTTCCACTTGAAAACAATTCGGAAATAAGAGATTTGACCAACATGCTCAATAAGCCAGCTAATTTTTAGATTTGATAACTTAAGCTTATATACTTAAGTATATATAGTAGAATCAGGTTATAATGACGCTCAAGGGACCGCCATTCGAATTTCCGTCGTAATATCGGTGCGGACGCCATAACCGGATTCTACTGTATATCCGTTTTCGCCTTGAGATTTAATTATTGATAAATTGATATATTTTAGTTATAATATATATATAATATTATTAATAAGCCAAGCTACATTTAGTTTGGCGCTGTTCAAACTGTAGCTATCTGCCTGTGGCTCTCAAACTGTTTGGTAAATCGAAAGACTTAAGCAACATACTAGCTTGGGCGGCGACCGAAAACTGTTGCCTACTTCTAGGTGCTGCATTTAAAGTCCATTTTCAGGTGAATAATATGAAATTATAGATATAATAAAAAATAAAATAAAAGCAAAATAGTTTGAAATAAAAAATTTTAATTAAGTTTAGGTTATTTGTATATTAAGTTCTATATTGATGTTAGGATGCAATTTAATTTCAAATTTAATTTAATTATATTAAATTAAAATGTGTTCAATGATATATTTAAGCTGCCATGAATAGAATTTTAAATTTATTATGCATAAAAAACTTACATATATGTTCTTATTATTTTGTAAATAATTAAAAAATATTAATAACTTTTGTTTAATATTAATAAAAATAATACAATATTAATTAATAACAAGCCACACAAATGTTTTTATTATATCTTTCATATAAATATATAAATGTTTTTTTTTTTTTTTTTTTGTTTAAATCTTTCGTATTTTATTTTTAGTTTGCTCGTGTACAATTTATTTGCAATTACCTTGCGGCTTGAGTGTTTAATTAATTATGCAGCCAATAAATGTGCAGCGAGCAGCTGCCTGTCTTTAGTTAGTCAATGAATCATTTCACTTTATTGATAGTTTTAGTCAAGCTCAAGCATGCGCAGATCCTTCAGCTGTGAGGCATTCTTGCATGAAGGGCCTCAATAATGAATGCATTGTATTTTCATTGCCAAAGTCAAAGTCAAAGCCATAGCCAAAGCCAAAGTCACAAAATGAGCCGCGTCAGTGGGTCACAATTACTTAGCTTGGCCAAGTGCAGTTAATTAAGGCCAGAATCACGTACGCATTGATTGAGATGTATGAATGGCTTGTTATGGCCAGATTGCATTAGATAAATATATATATATATATATATATATATATAGGTATATATATGTTTATATAAATTGCATGAGAATTGATAAGTGAAAGGGAATTCGTTGCTATAGTTAGGCATGAGCTCAGTTTATTAATGAATCTCTTAAAGACGTATCATTGAACTAAAAGCTGTGCACCTGACGGCGAGGAAGAGCACTTGGCAACACTGAATCTACTTCTAATCTATATACTATAATATTGATATTTGTGATATTTGTGTCATGCATTTCAAGTGGTATTTCCGACTAACTCGTTTGAGTGTAATCAGTTTGTAGTAGTTGTAACTTTGCTCAATCATGAAAGTGAAATGATTATATTGATTTTGTCAGTCCTTCTGTTCGTAAGAATGGAATGAATGGGATCAGCCGAGCCTATTTGGCCCTGTTCGTCTATGAGACCCATTTAAGAGCTAAGATAGTAGTTTGTTTGAAGAAACCACTAGTTATACCTGATCCCATTGCAAATGGGAAATCAGGGTATAGTAGCTTCGTTAAATGTATGGAAAAGGCAGAAGGAGGCTTGACAGACCCCACTAAGTATATATATTCTTGAGCAGGCCGACGAGATATAGATATATACAGATGTGAGGAATTAGTGATACATCAGTTCTATTAAGGGTTCAATAGAGCGAGCTGTCTCGACAAGAGTTCTCTTGAGCATTTTGTTTAAATGTTATCGATTAAAAAGCTTATGAAACGCCAATTAATATATAATAAAATTATATATTGTTTATTCTTAAAGTTAGATCTTCAAATATATAAAAATAAATATAGATTAATGTGTATTTTATATGATTTTGATTTTATTTATATAGTATGTAGGATCGGAAAATATACATATATGAATGTCATTAACACATTCTGCAAGTTTGGCTGTTAAAGGATCCATTTAACAGTTAAGTTCCCATTGCGACGTCAACTGCGCTGTGAGCAGAGCGCATGCTTATGAGTAATATCAATTCTTCTATGCTTTCGGGGAATCTCGCAGTCGAGCAATCGCGACTGGATAACTTGAGAATAATAAAATAATTGTTATTTAATTGTTCTCAAGTTAGCATTTGTTATACAGTAAATGTCTTGTAGTTGTTTTTGTTTGTTTGTTTTGTGCGTTAATTCATATATTAAAATTTAATTGGCAATCTTGAATGGCACGCGAAAAAAAAGGTGACTTCAATCAAATTGATTCAGTTTATAAGCGACGCGACGACGCACTCGCACACAAACTGTTTGCTAACAAGCTGAGCAAATGGCTACCGTGTGCTAGCTAGCTATCTGCTAGCTGTTGCTTAGTTAGTTAACGTACTTAGCTTTAGTTTTTAGTTGGCAAAGTGTGTGTGTGTGTGTGTGTGCGTGTTTGTGTTTGCTTTTTATTAGCCAGCCGCAGTGTCTAACCATTCCAACGGCCATCAGACAGTGCGTATGCGCAATGTGCGCTCCATGGCAACGGCGCGTGTTCCATTTTGTTGTTGTTATTATTGTTGCTGTTGTTGTGTTTGAGCCGACACACGCTACACACAAGTGGGTTAAATTGTTGTTCGCCGCTGCTCTTGTTATTGTCACCTGTCTGATTAATATTGTATATATATACATACATATATATATGTGTGTATGTATATGGTTTTTTTTTTTTTATAATAAAATTGTGCGTCGAGTCATGGCATGTAGTTGGGGAGCATTCGCCTGACCTTCGACGTTGTCAAATGTGAGCTGTAAACTGCGTCGCTCTCGATTTGCAAGACATTCAAAAACAAAAAATGAAATAAAATTATTGTAGGTAACACATACCCATACACAAATAATAAATCCAAATTGAAATTGCATTAAATTCAAAATTGAAACCATAAAAAATCGTTTATTCAGCTATGCACAGCTCTTGCCATTGCGCAAATTATTTTCAGTTCAGTTTATCCATGTTTTCATTTTTTACCTCCAAACTCAATTACCACGCACTTAATATTGAATATATTATATGTATACAATTATATATGTTTTTTTTTGCTGCTTACTTAATAAAAATTCCGTAACAAGTTGTATTTCTTTCTCTGAAAATTTATAACTCTATATAGATTGCCAGATAAAGCTTGTCAATTTTTTATACCCTTCACTTTTGTTGCCAGGCGCATTAAAAAAAAAAAAAAAAATTAAAAAAAAAAAATGATGGAAAAAAAAGTAGAGCCCAATAATATATATATATATAGATATATACATATATATATATATATTTTGTTCTACTCGTTTCTTAAGACTTTATTCTTGAATTCCTCTGTGCGTAGCTCTTGAAGTTGGCTTCGAGCACTCGAGTCTCGGAATGCCCTAATTAGCACAATGTCGTGGTCTTTTGCTTTCTCGTTTATCTGTATTTAAGTGGTTGAAGTACATTTCTGGATAACAAGTTCAAGTTGAACGAGCGGAATGAATAATAATAATGGGAGTGTCGAATAGAAGGACAATAGAATAAAATATATAATATATATTTAAATTAAAGCTAATTTGAGATAAATTTATTTAAACATATTATTTTTCTGTATGTAAAATAGTTTCAAATGAATATGAATATATATCTTTCGATTTGAATGAGCTAGTTCCATAAATACAATTCTAAGTTAATTTTCAATAAATTTAAGCATAACTTAAAATATTATCATTTCAAATAAAGTAAGATCTGCTGCTACAAAATATATATATGAACGTACTTTGATAAAAAAATAAAAATAAAAATAAAAATCTCAAAATAATACAAAAATTACTATTAAAAACAAATTTTAGAAAATGTGTATTTTAGTTAATTATTAGTAAAGTTTGAATTATACAATAAATATAAGGGATACAATTAATAGATAAATAATGTTATTTTATTATATAAAATATTGTTATATATAATTGTTAATTTATTCATTTCTTAATTATATATCCACAAATGTTTTAGCCTTTATTTTATTTAATTCAAATGTAATTTATTTAACTTAAATAGCTCAAATCTCTTGGGAATTTTTCGTTTACAGAGCTATTTAGTAGATGTATTCATAAATTATAAAAACTTGTTCGGCGATTTTCTATCGTTTCTATATAGAATCTGCGATTGTCAACCAGTTGGCCAAAGTTCAGGCTGCACAATTCAATCATTATTTTGAGACAGACGTTTGCGGATAATGTAAAGACGATATTTTATGTCAATTTTTCTATGGGTATGTCAACAGCTCGATCGACAGGCATCTCCGGTGTCCCCTCACCCGCGCCACCTCTTCCCCTATGCATATGCATGTTGTGCAGCTGTGCACATTAAAATCAATTAAAATTCTTATTTATCTTCTATTCGCGATTCTCAGTTCTCAATTCTCGATGCGCCTAACAAGTGCAGCGTGCTGCGAGCTCATCTATAAATATTTATTAATGTTTCACAACGCTCGAAAAAAATAAAAAATAATGAACAAAAAAATAATAAATATATACAAATTACACGCATTGAAAGACATTCTTGAATTTAAAGTGCACTTCAAGAAGAAGAAGAAATAATTTTGTATTATGTTAGGCTATGGGAATTGTTTCAAGTTTTGTAACTATTTTATGTTTGCCATTAAAAAAAAAAAATAAATAAAATAAATCACATACTTCTACGTTTTTTTTTAAGTTTTGCTTTAGCACTCGCTAGATAAGTAATTAAATTAATTAAGTTTTATATGCTAGCTAAAGTCGATGCACGCTGCCAATCGCTACACTCAAAATTAGTTTTGTAGAGGCCTTCCACTGGAGCGTTCATATCGTTTATCGAGTTAAGATTGACTTAAGTCGATTGCTATCGGTGTGCTGCTGTTGCTTTTTTTGGTCAACTCAATTGAGCGTTCAAAATTTATGACACAAACACGATAAACTCTAGTCAAAATAAAAACAGGAAAATCATAAAATGATATAATTAAGTACAGTGAACATTCAATAGAATGAAAAATGTAAAATAATTGTTTGGAATCGTTATAGAAATATGCAGAAAATTAATATTGATGATGATGATAATGAATTTGTATGTAAAGGAATATAAATATAGTTTAATGATTATATTTATATTTGTTTAAAATAGCTTTAAAAAATTTTTTATAGAAGCTTAGAAAATATATTGAATTTTTTATTTATTTTTAATATAGATTTGGTAAGATATTTTAAAATTAAAAGTATTTTCAATTAATTTTTAAGATATATTGATATACGGAAATTAGCTTAAGATGGTACCCAGATTTTATGAAAGTAAAGTCTAACATTTAACATTTGGAAAACATAAATATTTTTTGAGTTTTGAATGCTGAGGAATCCTTCAATTTATTTTTGAATACCCACATGAAATATTTGGTTCAAGTTAACGGAAAATCTAACACATTTAAAATCAAGTTTTTCCTCTATTTTAAAATGTTTTAATATTAATGAAAATTAAACTAATTATTGTAATTTGCATATTTGTTTTAAGAGATATCTCTCTATTGCACAAATTTAAAAGCTCAAAAACTGCGCTGCTAATACTGAACAAGTTTTAACCTATTTTATATGGTTGATAAAGTCAACTGCACTTCCACCCAACAATTATACGATTTTGGCTAAAATAAATCGCCCAATCATAAATCTTCATAAACAAGCCATTAACCACATGAAGAACGCATAAAACAAATATAATAAAAAACTGAAATATTATAGCACATTTACATAGCAAACAGCTGATGGCGACTGCTGCAGCCCAAATGACTTGACTGCTCAATTAGCGCGAAGAGCGGCATTTTGGTCACTCTCTTAGTGCGTGCAAACGATCGAACAGCTGAAGATGTAGTGAAGATGCGCACTCTTTAGCACATTCCAGCTAGCTGCTCTTTGCATACATCCGTTTTTGGTGGACGCTCTTTGAAACGGACTGGAAATGCCCATATGACGACCATGTTCACATATGTATGTGTGTTTGCGTTCCTGTGGGAAACGTTGACATGGCAATGATTAATAAGAGCCGTTGTCAATAATAAAAAGGCCGAAACTCATTTAAAAACGGATCTGGAGACGGAGATCAAGCCGACACAACGAAATGGAGCATGAGCCTACCCGGTGGGGAGATGAAAACTGTGAAAAAATAATGCGAGAGAAAGAGAGAGGCCGAGAACGTGATGCAGAGACGGAGAGTGAGAGAGAGAGTTCGCACGAGCGTTGTTAAAGACGGTGGCGTTGTCTTCGACCGGTTTCTTTGAAGAGCGCGAGGGGAGGTCGATTAACAGCGTGCTGCTTGCTCCCTAGCCCAGCTGAGGTGCCAGGCACCAGCAGATATTTCAGTACTCAACGAACTCTTGGCGGCTACGGACGTTTGGCGCTCTCCTTGCTGCATGGGCAAACTTGGTGAGCGCGACGTGTGGACGAGCAAACAACGCTCGTAGTGAGAGTGAATGTAAACGTGTCGCGCATGCGTTCGTCGTCGTCTTCAATTGTTGCTGGTTATTGCTGACTCGTTCGGTTCGGTTTCGTCTTCACCGTTATTATAATTTGTGTGCTGCGCGTTTTATCTATGCAAAATGACGAGCCGAGCTATGTGTGGATGGCAAATAGTTGAAATTGTTTGTCGAAAATTGCAAATAGGAAGAAAAACTATGCAACCAAAAACAACAAAGAGATATTCCACCCGCTGCAATGTTTTAAAATAGTCTTTAAGTTGCTTGTTGTTGCTTCATTTTTGGTTTGCTGTTGTTGTTACTGTTGCTTTTTTGGGTCGACGTTTCGTCGGTTCGCCATCTCTTTTACGCACACGCAAATTCGTTGTGTGTTCGGTTTCTGTCTTTTCGCCTCTGCTTTGTTCGCTTTGAGCGTCGTCTTCTTGTCTTTTGCTTATGTACGTTTTCGTTCATGAATATAATTTATATTCGTGTTTATTTCTGCGGCTGCTGAGGCTACTTCTACTTCATCATCATCATCATCTTCTTCAACTTTAAACCTCCTCTCCACAATCTTCCCACTCTCCGCCTCGTCGTTGCAACAACAACCAAAAACAATTCACAAAACTTATTTGTCGCTTGCGCAATTTTTGCGCTAAACTGAAAATTATTAGCAAAACCGAAATAAATTTTCAAGTACGAAAATTAAATACATAGCGGAAGTGCAAAACTAACGGTTAAATGTGTGTGCAAAAGTCATAAGTGTACCAGATAATTGAAAAAAAAAAAAAAAAAAAAAAAAACAAGTAAGAAGGCTCTAGTCGAGACTGCTCGACTAGGAGATACCCTGAACCCTCTAAGCTGATATTCTAATCATTCTGCATTTTTATGCACACATACATACACATGCATCCACACGCACGCATAAGCCTGCGCTCTGCTAACTGCGCAGTAAGCAGCGACTGCGCTTGGGCTGCGCTGCAGTGTGGGCAATATTATGAGAATTTATTTGTTGAATAATTTCTTTTGTAGACATAAGATCTTAATGAAACTTTCAGAGTGTAATCATATGATGAATATGTGTGTACACTCCAAAGCACAAGTCTCTAGTACTTGAAATGCGTTTTTTACAAATTGGGGGAGAAGGGGGCGTGGTATCCAAAATCTGTAAATTACAAAATCTTTGTATCGATTAACTTTATATACAACCCAAATTTGAACACTCCAGGTCTAAAAATGTTCAAATTAGGCTGAAAAAACAAAATCAATTTTTCGATTATTCTCGATAAAAAAGTTATCGGACGATTTATCGAAAAAATAAAGCAAACTCGTACTGCGTATGGTACACACGAGTATGCATGTCAAATTTCAGCTCTCTAGCTCTTATAACTTCTGAGATCGACGCACTCATACGGACGGACGGACGGACGGACGGACGGACGGACGGACGGACGGACGGACAGACGGACAGGGCTATATCAACTCAGCTCGTCGCGCTGATCAAGAATATATATACTTTATGGGGTCTGCCACGCCTCCTTCTGCCCGTTACATACTTTTTCACAAAACCATTATACCCTGATTTCCCATTTTCAATGGGTTCAGGGTATAAATACAAATAAAAGTAAATAAATAAGGAAATAAAATAAAATGAAAGTTACAATCATCGCCGTGTCAAGCTTATAAATCAGGTCTTTGACTATATCTTTTAGAGATTTGCATACAAATTATAACTACTCGTAGTTGACTTAAAAACACGGCCTCTAAGAACTTTAAAAGTTGCCAAGGTGGTAGGCAATGGGAGTAGCAGAAGAAGAACAGCAGTTGAAGCTAAAGAGAGAAGACAGCACTGAGAAAAGAAGAGCACTGAGAAGAGCTTGAGCTAAGGACGAAAACGTTTGATTTTTTTTTTTTTAATTGGCAATTATTCAGCCTTTGTCGAAAACCGCATAAATTGTTGTTTTCTTTTATCTACTTTACATTCCTCTATAATTATGGCTTTCAACTCTTCCACGCTTTCTTGCATTTCTATTGCTACAACTCTCACGATCGCCCGCTCTTATTAGCGCGCTCTCACTCACCTATTCGCGCTCTCTTTCTCTCGTTGGATACTTATTACAGTTACTAAGCAAATGCCTGCTGTATAATTTTTGTATAGAAAAAAACTCTTTTTTGGGTGTCTCTTTGGTTTCATGATTTTGCTGCTGCTGCTATTGTTGTTGTTATTATAATGGAATTGTTAATTGTTTGCAGTTGTGCAATGATTTTTTTTTAATTTTTAACAGCGTTGAGCTTATGTTGTTGTCGTTACTGTTGTGTGTATTTTTTCGGCTTCTTTCTCGACGTCTCTCTGACTCTGTTGTCGATTATGACTAATGGACGGACATTTGTCGGGTTTGCTTGTAAGCCCGCAGAAGGTCAATTGTTTTGTGGGTAATTCCGTTTATACATATTATGTACGCACACACATATATATACATAACTGTGTGTATGTATGTGATTTTTCAAATTCTTCACGCTTTGCCATTTATTTTTTTGTATCCATTGCATTTATTAAACTTATTGCTTGTTTCCTTTTTTTGCTCTCTTGCCTTACTTTATGCAATATAATTAATTTGAAACATTAACGAACCATTTCGTCATTTACTTAAGCCTTTTGTTTTGCGGTTTTGATTTCCGTTTTTTCCTTGTTTTTATGTTTGTTTCTTTATTATTGTTTTGTTCCATTGTAAAATATAATGCACCTAAATGCTGTTAAATTTTTGTTTCGTTAAGTGGTATTTAATGGAGCTTTTGGTTTGCTTGAGATATTTTTGGAATTATTACATATGTATGAACAAAAAATCTTTTTGAAGTGTTTAAATGTAGATCATATATTTTTGTATGTGTGTACGTAATTTTATATATAATTGGTTGTTTTTAACAGTATAAACACACATTTTGATATAAAGCTTCCGAGTATTTTTATATTCCAGATTCCAACAGTTTTATATCTTTGAAGTCTTTGAAATCTTAGCAGCAAAAATAACATTTATTTTATAATAGTCTAATAGTCTAAATAGATTGGAGCTCCTATTAAATGTCACATGGGCTTTTCTCACTCATATTTCACTATATTGAGTGGATTACATCACTTTGCAATATGCGAAAATATATAAATATATGTCTAATATACTATATCTAGATATGCATTCCTTTATCTATTTTGAAAATTTGTTCAATGCCAACTGCTATGTCAACTTTCGGATTCACTAAAATTCTAATACCCCCAGACCGCACTCGAAATGAAGTCAAGCAACTGGGCAAACATTTTGAGGTTCGATTGGCCATTAAAAACAAATGTTCATATATGTAGCATCAAGAAATCGTATTTTGCATACGATTTCACGATAAATAAATAAATATATAAATAAAACGTGTATTCCGTAACGGTATAAATTATTTAAATAAACAACAAAAATCCTAGTGACAAAATTGTTGACTAAGAATCGCCGGCTATACAAAAAAAACACAATTCGTTTTTCAATGAATCATAAGTTTTCTTTACTAAAGTTTTGCATATTTGCAGTGCTGATTCGGAAATTTGCGTGGAAAAGATGAGCAAACGCTGAAAGTCAGCCAATGTGGCGTGTGACAATCGATATATATGTATATATAGAGATAAAGTAATATATACTATATATATGATGCAAAATTGTAGCGCCTGAAGCTAAACGAATCCAATCCAATCGATCCCCTTTCCCTCAGTGTGCTATACATAGTTTTGTTTAATTAATTTCACAATACAATCAACAAGCTAAAAAAATAAAGTAAAAATAAAAATAAAAATACGAAATTTGCTCACAACAATAGCTCACAATATTACGACTATAAAAATATGAGTGTTCCAAGCGTGCCCCAACAGCGGGCATCAAAATATTCGAACTCAACGCGACTCCCGCCTAGCTGGAGATCATGTCTAACGCCCAGGGCATTAGCCCCCCTATTGTTACTGATTAGTCTGGGCCTCAGTCTGGGCTTTGTGCATTGTTATGGTGAGTACTTTTTGCATATGCCTCAAACAAAACAAATTCAATTAGTCTTAAGTTTCATACGAAATTCCATTGTCATAAATGAGATGAAAAAAAAACTTGCAAAGTATATAGGAAGAAACTAGGCTAAAAATACACAAGAATAGTGATTGGATAAAAGTATGTGTATATGCGTATTTTGAAAAATATAATTATTAATTATTAAAAATATAAAAACTATATAAAACTATTAATATTACTGAAATAAATTGTAAACAATGTTTTTATAACTAGGCAATAACAGCATAGAAACCATGTCATAGAAATTTATAAAAATAGAGAGAATATTTATTTCGGTATCACGGGTATTTAAGATTTTCATATTTAACAAATAAAAATATAAATTAAAAAATAATGTATATAATTTTATTAATGTGATGCCGATCAGAATATTGCAAATTTATATCTCTTTAATAACTGCGATTTTAAAGAAGACAAATTTGTCAATAATAATTAATCTGGGACTTAAATTTATGGCTTTCAAGCAAAGAAAATAGTTTTTTGTTTTATGAAATTTGAAATTGAAATTTTACATTTATACTCGTGGATCTTTTTTGATTCAATAACTCATCCTATTAGATTGATATCAATCAATAAGTTGATTGCGATTATTAAACGTAATATAAATACTGTTCGAGCGACGGATTTCAGATTTACTATGCAATCAATAGAAATATTAAAAAAAAAAAAAACAACACGATTAAACTTTGAGTAAAATATTTTTATTAATAATTTTCTAGAAATTAGTCTTCACATAATACTTGACTCTAATGCTCCATTAAAATGACTTTGTATATTTATTTATTTACAATACTTTCAAATAAATCTAAAAGTATATAAATAAGCTTCCACTCAACTTTCACGCTAATTAGTGATCGACAATCAAATAACAAATAACAAAGTATTGTTATTTTTGTTATAACAAATTTGAAAGATTCACTGTGCAATTTTTTCGTGTCTAGCAAAACGAAATACAAATAACAATAATTTAATATAACATCTTGAAATAATGTTTACAAAAACGAAACAAACCGCAATCGTTGGTGGGGAGAAGCATAATGAAATTGGCAAAGAAAGGAGGAAAACAAATCGTTTACACAGATCAAGCGATCCAATGCCTTACCACATGTGGAGGGGGCGAGGCTCCTATATACATAGGTACATATATATGTAAATATATTTATAAACAATGGATAATAATGCACATTGTTTGCAATAATTTCATTAATGCTCGACAACAACAGAGAAGCTAACGATCCGCGCATAAATCAAATGATTAGCAAAAATCAAAAGAAAATAATAATAATAAAAAAAAAAAAGAAAATGAAATAAAATAAATAAAACATTTCAACGAAAATACTATATAAATTAAAACGATCTATGAAATTGAGAGAGGAAATAAATCGCTATCTGGCTTGTTGGCTGCTTGGGCGTGCATTGACATTTGACTTGGTCCACACCCACAAAGCTAACCGTTTCTACGCGAAGCAATGTACGTGACCGCCGGCTGCAACATCTGTTAGGTAACTAAGAGAAACAGAAAGATAGTTAAAGAATGAAGCAGAGAGAGAGAGAGAGAGGGGCGCATCGGTAGCTAAGGAATTACTCGTATTAATGCCCATGCATAATAAATTAGCAAAGCCAAGCCGCTTCGAGTTTATCGGTCAGTCGATGCCACGAGATCTCGACATGTCTGCCGATATGCTGTCAATCAACCAGACAGAGTAGAAAGACACTGCGAGACTTAGAAGAGCTTTATCTGTCTGTCTACCCTCCCCCCACCTAGCCTGTTCCATAGTTTTGATGCACGCGTATGACGTCAAACCAAAATGTTAACTGGTTAACCGATTCTGTCATTATGATGGGTTTATTTTGTTGTAATTGCAATCAATTTGCCTAGAGGGGCAGGAACATTAAATGGATATTTGTCTCTGTTAATGCTCAACTAGTCAAATACAGTAAACAGCCATACATACATATGCGAGTGTGTGCTGGCTAGCACGTCTCTTCTGAATGACCCCATAATTAGAGTTAGAAAGTTCCGGGTTTCAGTATCAGTCTAAACATTTAGTGCTTAACTAAGCAGAAGATCATATTCAGTTAGTTAGTGTTGACTAAGGTGATAGGTTTTAGGTCTAAGCATTGTTTAAGGCATATTTAGAATTGGCATGGTTTAAGGTAAAATCTGATATTTCAATAGAAAATAGAAAAATTATAGATATAAATAGCAAATAATATAAAACATTAAATGCAAATTTTCAATAATAATAAATAAATACAAAAATAAAATCGAAATTAAACAAAAATTGTAAAAAATAAAAAATGTAAGGCTATTAAAATATAAGAATAACATATTCATTATATTTACATTATTTTAAATTGTATCGTATAATATATTAAATAAGTCTTAAGTATGCTACTTTCAAATTTAAAAAAAAAAACCTAATTTATCAAGTTTGAGTTATGCATAACAAGATTTTACTGCTTGTTTAAACTTTTAATTTAAAATTCCTGAACTTTATATGAATAATGCTACATAGAATTAAATAACAATTTATTGATTTGTAAAAGAATGTTATATTTCTTTACATCGTAGTTTCTATCTAGTTCTTGAAATTTTCTGAATAAAATTTCTAGAACTACTTTTCAAATAATGCAAATATTTGTATGTTCATATATATAAATGTTCAGTAACTTGATCATTATTTGCCATTTGCAAATCTGGTGTAATTCTATAAACTAATTTGCAAAAGTTGTTTATGGACACTTGGCACGCCGATAACTGTCGCAATTTATTTCAATTGATTTTGATGTAATTTTATGCGTGCAAATCACGCATTAAATTGTGCCAATTAAGATCTAAGAATGCCATAAATGTTGCGTAATGCGTGAGCAATACAGACCAGAATAAAATTAAATAAATAAATGCTAACTAACTAAAGCATTCGTTGTTGATAGACTAAGCCAGTTTACCTTTTCATATAACTTGAACATGTTTAGCATAGAAAATCAGGGTATATCAGCTTTGGTGAAACGTATGTAATAGGCAGATAGAGGCGTGGCTCCATAAAGTATATATATTCTTGATCAGTGTGACGGAGAAGGGTGAGCAGCTGAGATGTCGTAGATCACAACAGCTAGGGACTTGTATACACAATGATATTTACCGATAGCTCATCCCATTTCTTTTTATCGATAATAATCGATCACTTAAGTTCGTTTTTTGAGCGTACCTTTAATATGTGCAAGCATACAAAAAGCGTAGAGTAATGAGAGTCTCAGCTCTTTGTGGGGTGCAGGTGATCTTCCAGTCGAGCAGTCTCAGCTGGAGCACCTCTTACTAGTTACATACTGAATCTGCGCTGAATGTTTTCTGTACCGTAGAGCGATTGCTTTAATTGACTTTTAAATTGATTGGGCAGCGGTCAGGGCTTTAATGGGCCACGCCCCGTTTGTTAACAATATTTTGGTGCGATTTGCTTGCCATTTAGCGCTAGGCTTGATCATTTTGAAATGACAAACTATTTCTATTGGCTAACTTTTTAAAAATAAATCTGGTCTCACTTTTCTCTATATATATAATATATTCAGATGTTAACCACTTAAACAGAATTAAATTTTTATTTATTATTTCAATATTATTTAAAACTCGATCTAATATTGTTTTAATTTGCTTAATTTATTTATTTATTTTTTTGTAATTATTTAGCGCCATGCAAACCAAGTGGCATTAAGCTACAGATGTTTATTTATGCACTAATTAGTAAATCAACATTTTTTTGCTTTGCTTCAATATACATTTATATTGTGAATCACAAATTAAAAGTGCAAAAGTGCCCGAAGTGTGATGCCTTGTATACAAATAATGTATGAAATATATAAAGTCTATATAAAATAAAAAATAATAATATAAAATAAAACAATTAAATGTAATTTAATTATAAAATAAATATAAGATGAATAAATGAAAAGTAATGTAATTGAATTATGATAAATTTACTTATTTGTCAGCCATTAAAAAATATTACTATTTTTAGTGTAAATGTATAAAAAAAAGGAATATAAATAGAATGAATAATAATCATTCATGGCCCAAGTGCTGCCAGATGTGTTAGTGTAAATTAACAAAATTTAATTTTTAATATTAATGCATATACTAAATAATATATTAAAGAATTTCCTAAATATATATATATATATTATTTTTTTATTATATATATATATATTATTTTAAAACATAGTATGCTTTAGTCGTAGCTGAATCATTTTCTATTTAGTTATATTATTAACGCGACACACCCACTATAAAGATGGTTTCTGCAAACCCGTTTTAACAATTAATGGCAACGGCCGCAATTTGCAAAACAAACTGAAGCATGGGATTTAAGGCATTTATTATAGTTAACGACAATATAAAGGAAAAAAATGACAAATTTAGTAACAGACAAAAATTGAAATATTTTTTATAAGTTTTAATTATTTGCTGTTCGTGTTTTATTATTTAACCCACTCGAAATGCCAACCGTTTTATTTTGACAATGAAACAAAAGATGCGCTCAAATTGTTTTCAGACGAAAACCACTATTAAAAAAATGATGACGTTGACAGCAACAGAAACAACAATATGGATCATTACTATATTTTTGTGCCATTTTCGAGAGCAATGCTCGCACGTGTGTACATGTGTGCAACTATATATAACTGTGTGTGTGTGTGAGGAATGATGGATGGCAACAACAACTGACGACGACGACGTCGATGAGAATCTATATTTAAACAGCACAGAGTCGGAGCCCGAGCCAGAGCCCGAGCCAGACTCAGAGCGCAGAGCTCTGAGCGGCAACAATCATTCAGAATCAGATCCGGTTAACCAAAAACGTAGCTAGCTAAACGCCAACAACAATAACAGCAGCAGTAATAATTCTACCGAAGATTTACTCATCGGAAGACTCAGCTGACTTTATGTCTATATATGTTGTACCCATACATCCATACATCCATATACATATATATACTTACTGCGTTGGTGTGCTTGGTATGCCAGAGGCAAACACCTGCTTCATAGCTCGAAAGCAAACTTTGGCACAATATGTTTGGAAAAACATTCACGACATACCACGGACGCACGAAAAAAAAAGACCAACAAATAAAAATATGCTATAGACTAGAAGATGCCCTATACTCTGCGAGGCTTAAATTTTTAGATATTTCTTTTGCTAATTTTCAGAGATATACAAAAGGTTGAGTAGTAGCGGCTAGGGTTTACGAGGACACTAAAGAAACTATGTGCTTTATAATTCTTAACATATTTATGTATAAATATATTCATATATGTAGTTTATTGTACCAATTAAATTTTTTCTGCACTATTTACATTAATTTTTGCGTGACTTTACTTTTTCAATGTGAGCTAAATTTGCCCGAAAATGTTTATTCGCATGGACTTACATAAATAATAGTTAATTTTTTATTTTATTCAAATAGCTCCTTATATTATAAAAATGAAAAACCAAATAATATTTTACCTTCTAAAAAAAAGTTATAAGAAAAAAATGTAAAACTAAATTTTTCTCTTAAAACTATTAATATTGAATATTTTTTTAAAGTATGTATAATTTCTTGCAGTGTATATCTGTATGTATGTATGTATATACTTCTTGAGTATATACATAAATACATATTATATATCCATTTATGTATTTACATATACATCTATATAGTACTTATATAAAACGGCAAATGTTGTTGCTATCGCTGCGTTTCGGCTCGTCATCATTTATCGCATTATTGTTGTTGTAGTTTTTTTTTGTCATTGCTGTTGTTTTTAGCTTTTCTAAAGTTTACGATTTCACGTTCGTTTTCTTAGTCTTTTGATTTTTGCTCGTCTCTCACTTTCATACTCAGGTCCAATGCGTGACATTGGTCAATTAGATGGTTTATTGCAATTGGGATATCACTATATAATATATTCGTGTATTATCTATATATATGTATATATGTAGACACATTATCTGTATACGAATTGTGTTAATGTGAGCTAAAATTGCTGGAGAAACTTTTAAAAGCCTTGAACTAAATAAAAGTGAAATACTCTTGCAGTGAAGTGAAAACAAATTGTTTACCTATTAGGCTAAAGACCTGAAAAGTATAGGTCTTAGATAAACACCCCCATAAGTACATACATCAGTTGTTAAAAGAGAGTCATCAGAAAGATAATAGGTACCAAAACTACTCTATATTTCCGACAAACTCTACAACAATATTGTTGTGTAAAAATCATGATGAAAGCATTTAACCCCTTCTTATCTGATTCTTCCATTAAAGAGCAATATATACGGGCAGATAATGATGATAATCATAATTCTTATCAAGCAAAACCAACTAACATTTGACATAAGTAATACACTAAATATCTCTCTTTAGTGTCTACTTCAAATGCAATTGAGAGATCATCTGAGTAACTTTGTGGAAGTTAGACTGCCGCCTGTCTAATCACGCAGCTTTCACTCTTTGAAGTAAAAATGAAGAAGACAATGCATGGAAGCTTGAATTCCAAACAAGATAAATGAGTTGAGTGTCTTCAGGAAGTTATATTTACTTTTGACAATAATTCCACTCGCTATAAGTTTAATTGAGCACATTCCTAATAAATAGTCTAGTACGAATGCACTCAAGAAAACGAACATAAACCACATCAGAGCGCACGCAGGCTGCAGCCTGCAGAGTATAGTTTGGATCGTAACTGAGAGAGAGGAGATGAGACACATACGCACACACATGAAGTCTTGCACTTTGGCATCTTCTTACGGATTTAATGGTGTGAGTGCGTGGGAACTTATTTATAGTTGAATGCTTTTTGAGCTGTTCTTGCATTAAGGCTAATGCCAATTTTGACGACATCGTTCAGTTGCTCGCGAACTTTTGATTTAGGTGCAGTCGCTGCGCTTATTATTTCTTGGGAGATAATATAATTATTGAGAGTGATTTTTCATTGCATACAATTAGAACTATTGATTTAAAATCGCTAAAAATCTTATCGCTTTAAGGTGAATGAATTAATGGAATCTTCAATATATGTATGTATATATGCATGTACATATGTATGTATTATAAATTTGTATTATATTTTGTATTTTATATACAATTATATTTCTTATTAATAAATGCGCGAGATTAAAATAATAGTTTAAAGTTTCCTACCTCATATATTATTTGTTATAAATGTATGCGTACATGTGTGCTTATGCTTTTTATTCGACTTAAGAGATCAACAGAAGGTCATTAGGCTTATCTCGCGAATGCTTATGTATGTATATATGTACATGTAAATGTCTCTGCTTGATCTGAGTGAAGTTAAGGAAGCAAACGATAGAATCCACAAGGCGCACAGTTGAGTGGATTGTAATGTGGACATGTCAATGGTGTGTCAATGGTGTGGATAATAAGAGCGTGGGAATTAAGGGAAGAGTGGAGTGCTTATCGAGCTATTATTGTATTAGTGAAAGTGCTTTGCTTACACACGCATATTTTTCGTAATGCAGGTCAGTTGCTTACGAGCATTTGCTGTAATCGGAGCTGGCACGTAGTACGCATTTTCATGCTGAGTGGTACATACACTTAAATTCGTATCATGTTATTATTAATGTTTGTATTAAATTAAATGTATGCATATTTATTTAGTTCAAGTACATGTTGTATCGTTGTTAAATGAAATTGTTTATGTTTACCCCGGAACCCCCTATTTTATATTTTTTATTTGAGCAAAGTCAACCAGTGAATCAATCAGTCAATTACGTCCGCCTACTATCTTGATTTTGTGATTTAAGGTTTGAATGATAACCAATTGATTATCGGCTCCCATTTACTTCTGCTCTTTGGTCTCATTTTCGCAATGAAGTAGCAGACCTTGACTATTGAAATAAATAATGACTATTTTCATTTAAATTAACTATAAGCAACAAGAGTTTGATACTCCACTTATCTGAAGGTTTTACGCAGCCGGAAATCTGTTAGCAGAATATCTGATAATATCTATCATATGTCTAGTATCTCTATTATATTGTGATTTATGACTGTAACTTTACCTAAACTAATATATATTTATGAGAACAACAAAAAGTTGACCCAAACAATTTGTCAAAGGCGCCAAGCAAAAAGTTTTTGATTCATTGACATATAAAAATTATATGCCACAATGAAATCTATTTGTTAACTGTTAATTGGTTGCCGATTTGAGTGTTGGCCAAAAAAAAAATATATAATATATATTTATCAAAAAAAGCATGTTTTAACTAAAAAATACCCTGGAATAAGTGGGGATCGAACAAGCGCTTTTAATTGTTAAAAAGTTCATTAAGTAACTAGATTATTATTTATATCCAGCAGCTGTTAGAGTTACGTAAATTGGCAGAAAACCAATATACCCTCTGTATTAATAATTTCGTGGTATAGACAAAAAAAATGCACGCATGACTTAATTTCATCTAAAATCAATTAACACTATCCATATAGCCATATAGTCATTCAAGTTTACGCCAGACCAAAAACTCAACCATCTAATGAAGCCCAAAAATTCTTTTTCATCTTTTGCGGCTTAATTAGACAACGAGAAAAAGTTGTCAGCATCTCAAATAGTTGGCCAAGAATGCAGTCGCTCCAAACGCTGGCTAAATGCATTGTGGTTGATCTTTTTTTCTTCACTCACAATTATTTTTGGCCAACTATTTTGCTTACAAGCAGCTTAACGTTCGTAAGATTTTGGCATTTTGATGTCATTAAACCAAATGCCATTAGTTTAATTAAAATTTCCAATATTGGCATTTCTATAACATAAATGTAAATAATTAAATAAAACTAATTTGATATATTTTGAGATCATGGCAAGAACTACAAAAGTGCGACAAATCTGATTTATAAACAGTGATTTGTGACTTTTTAAGGAATAAAATAAATATACAAACTAAATATGGCCACAAATTATATTTTTTTTTGTTTATTTACCAACACCAAATTAAATTATCCAACGATATTACAAAATTAAGTTGAGTAAATAAAGTTATATATTGATGCACAAATATAAGTATGATTCTTAATCTCTCTTAAGAGATTAACAGAATTGCTCTTTGAGCTGAGCTCAGCAAATACATACAGCACATACATACGCATGTGTATTTGATCTGAGAGAACAATGGAATCCATACAAATGGTCAAACGGGACTCATAAATAGTAAAATTGAGTGCTTCATGAATTGAGTGGATCCACATTTCGGCATTTCTCTATCAAACGTATTGACAAGAGCGTGAGAATTTCTGGAATATTGGAATTTTGAGCTGTTATTGTATTAGTGTTAATGCTTTGCTTGAGCGTGATTATTTCGGGTAATGCAGGTCAGTTGCTTGCGCGCAGTCGGTCTTATTGGAGGTGGCTCATTTTTGTGTCATTTTATATGCACTTACACTTATTCAATGCAATTTAATTAATTAACAGTTCTATTTATTTCTTAACAATTTGTTGAAGTCTATAAATAGAAAATTATTTCATAATGGTAGAAGCCATAGGAAATTAAATTTCTGTTTATGAATTGTATGTATTTCAATTTATAGTAACATTTACTGTTAAGATAAATGTTTTATATTTTTAATTTTAACCAATATATATATGTATATATTAAATATGTGCTTATAAATTATTATTGAAAAAAATCGAAATTTGTCTATATAAGGTATTTGGATTTCTATATATATATATATATATATATATATATATATATATATATGTACTTCATATAGATATTTTTTATATTTTTAATACATTTTTTACATATATAATAGAATATCATCTATTATAAATTTCTTATGTTTGACATTCTTTTAAATTTCAGAGAAAATGTATAGTCAGACTGAGAAACAGCGCTACGACGGCTGGTATAATAATCTCGCCCATCCCGACTGGGGCTCTGTGGGTAGGTGCAATATAGAATATGATATTAGAATATTATCTAAGTATGTAAATGCAACAACTTTCTAAATGTGTTTACTTAGAGGGCGGCACCCTGGATTAAATTAGATTTGCCACGTTTAATCGAAGCTATTTGCATTGACACGACATACGATTTGCATATAGTGAATACTGATAATTTCAAAACTATTTCCAGACAGCCATCTGGTGCGCAAAGCACCGCCCTCGTATTCAGATGGAGTTTACTCGATGGCAGGTGCTAATCGGCCGTCGACAAGGCGATTGAGTCGTCTATTTATGCGGGGACGCGATGGTCTCGGCTCGAAGTTCAATCGAACTGCATTGCTGGCGTTCTTCGGCCAGGTGGTGGCCAACGAGATTGTTATGGCGTCCGAGTCCGGTTGCCCCATCGAGATGCATCGCATCGAGATTGAGAAGTGTGATGAGATGTACGATCGTGAGTGTCGTGGCGATAAATATATACCGTTCCATAGGGCGGCCTATGATCGCAGCACGGGTCAGAGTCCGAATGCGCCAAGGGAACAGGTGGGTGTGAACACGTGGGTGTTTGGGTGTGTGGGCGTTGGGTTAGTGATTAGCCTTTGCCAAACTGGTGTACAAATGTCGACAATAAAACCTACTCCGCAGATAAATCAAATGACTGCTTGGATTGATGGCAGTTTCATTTACAGCACCTCCGAGGCATGGCTCAATGCCATGCGATCCTTTCACAATGGCACACTGCTCACTGAGAAGGATGGCAAGCTGCCCGTACGAAATACGATGCGTGTGCCGCTCTTCAATAATCCGGTGCCAAATGTCATGAAAATGCTCAGCCCGGAACGTTTGTTCTGTAAGTTTTGATATGATTATCTGAAGACTATTTTTAGTAAATACTAAAGTAATTCCCATTGCATATATAATATTTCAGTGCTGGGTGATCCGCGCACAAATCAAAATCCTGCCTTGCTCTCCTTTGCCATACTCTTTCTGCGCTGGCATAATACCCTGGCGCAGCGTATAAAACGTTTGAATCCCACTTGGTGTGACGAGGATATCTTTCAGCGTGCGCGGCACACGGTCATAGCCAGTCTGCAGAATGTCATCGTCTATGAGTATTTGCCGGCATTTCTGGGTTCCTCCATTCCGCCGTATGAAGGCTACAAGCAGGACGTACATCCAGGCATTGGACACATCTTTCAGGCGGCTGCCTTTCGCTTTGGCCATACCATGATACCGCCTGGCATCTATAGGCGCGATGGCGAATGTAATTTCAAGCAGACGCCCATGGGCTATCCGGCAATACGTTTGTGCTCTACGTGGTGGGACTCCAGTGTAACTATATTTATATATATAATCACACATTTTGTATAAATATTTATTAAATCTAAATATCTTGCAGGGTTTCTTTACCGACACGAGCGTGGAGGAGGTGCTGATGGGTCTTGCATCGCAAATTTCCGAGCGCGAAGATCCAGTTTTGTGCTCAGATGTGCGGGATAAGCTCTTTGGGCCCATGGAGTTTACGCGCCGAGATCTGGGCGCTCTGAACATAATGCGTGGACGTGATAATGGTTTGCCCGATTATAACACGGCCAGAGAAGCGTATGGCCTGCGTAGGCATAAGACCTGGACGGACATCAATCCGCAATTGTTCGAAGCGCAACCCGAACTATTGGAGTAAGTTCGAAATGGAGTTTAAAATTCCTTGCAGTTCCAATACTAATACAAATTGTTTCCCTTCACAGCATGCTCAAGGAGGCTTACAATAATCAGCTGGACGATGTGGATGTCTATGTGGGTGGCATGCTGGAGTCCTATGGCCAGCCGGGCGAGCTTTTTAGCAGTGTGATCAAGGAGCAGTTTCAACGCTTGCGCGATTCGGATCGGTTTTGGTTCGAGAACGAGCGCAATGGCATTTTCACGGCCGAGGAGATAGCCGAGCTGCGTAAGATCACGCTCTGGGACATCATCATAAACAGCACGGACATAGCAGAGGATGAGATACAGCGTGATGTGTTTATGTGGCGCGCCGGTGATCCTTGTCCGCAGCCCATACAGCTGAATGCCACAGAGCTGGAGCCATGCAACTATTTGGAGGGCTACGATTACTTCTCGGGATCAGAGTTAATGTTCATCTATGTGTGCGTTTTCCTTGGCTTTGTGCCTATACTCTGTGCGGCTGCCGGCTATTGTGTGGTCAAGCTGCAGAACAGCAAACGGCGCAAGCTGAAGATACGCCAGGAGGCGCTGCGTGCACCACAGCAAAAGGGCTCCGTGGACAAGATGTTGGCGCGTGAGTGGCTGCATGCGAACCACAAGCGTCTGGTCACAGTCAAATTTGGACCCGAGGCGGCTATCTATACAGTGGATCGTAAGGGAGAGAAGCTGCGCACATTTAATCTGCAGCACGTGGACGTTGTCAGCGTGGAGGAGTCAGCGACCAATCACATAAAAAAGAAGCCCTATCTGCTGCTCCGTGTGCCCAGCGATCATGACCTAGTGCTGGAGCTGGAGTCGTATGGAGCACGTCGCAAGTTTGTCAAGAAGCTAGAGGATTTCCTGCTGCTGCACAAAAAGGAACTGACACTGATGGAGGTGAATCGTGACATAATGCTGGCCAGGGCAGAGACTCGAGAGCGACGCCAGAAGCGGCTCGAGTACTTCTTTAGGGAAGCCTATGCGCTCACCTTTGGCTTGCGGCCGGGCGAGCGTAGGCGTCGCTCGGATGCATCCAGCGATGGTGAGGTGATGACTGTAATGCGCACCAGTCTATCCAAGGCTGAATTCGCGGCCGCGTTGGGCATGAAGCCGAACGATATGTTTGTGCGCAAGATGTTCAATATTGTGGACAAGGATCAGGATGGACGAATCAGTTTCCAGGAGTTTCTCGAAACTGTGGTGCTCTTCTCGCGCGGCAAGACGGACGACAAGCTGCGCATCATCTTCGATATGTGCGACAATGATCGCAATGGGGTCATCGATAAGGGCGAACTGAGCGAAATGATGCGCTCGCTGGTGGAGATTGCGCGCACCACTAGCCTGGGCGATGATCAGGTGACCGAACTGATCGATGGCATGTTCCAGGATGTGGGACTTGAGCATAAGAATCATCTGACCTATCAGGACTTCAAGCTCATGATGAAGGAGTACAAGGGTGACTTTGTTGCCATCGGCCTGGATTGCAAGGGTGCGAAGCAGAACTTCCTGGACACGTCCACAAATGTGGCGCGCATGACCTCCTTCAACATTGAGCCCATGCAGGATAAGCCACGGCACTGGGTGCTCGCCAAATGGGACGCGTACATTACGTTTCTGGAGGAGAATCGTCAGAATATCTTTTATCTATTTCTATTCTATGTGGTTACGATTGTTCTCTTCGTGGAGCGTTTCATACACTATTCCTTCATGGCCGAGCACACCGATCTGCGTCACATTATGGGCGTGGGCATTGCCATTACTCGCGGATCTGCTGCATCTCTCTCCTTTTGCTATTCGCTGCTGTTGCTGACAATGTCGAGGTGAGAAATATTCCCTGAACCGATTTAACCGAGTATTCAAATATCACAAATCTGGCTGGTTCAGGAGATTTCCTAGTTTGGAATCCCAGAGCTTTTTTACTGGTTTATATTATACTAAATTCAAATTTGTCTTCTGTTTGCAGAAATCTCATTACCAAACTGAAGGAGTTTCCCATTCAGCAATATATTCCGTTGGATTCGCATATACAATTCCATAAGATTGCGGCCTGCACTGCGCTGTTCTTCTCGGTGCTGCATACGGTGGGGCACATCGTTAACTTCTACCACGTGTCCACACAGTCGCACGAGAATCTGCGCTGCCTGACGCGCGAGGTGCACTTTGCCTCGGACTACAAGCCGGACATTACCTTCTGGCTATTCCAAACGGTCACCGGGACAACGGGTGTGCTGCTCTTCATCATCATGTGCGTCATATTTGTGTTCGCCCATCCGACAATACGCAAGAGAGCTTACAACTTCTTCTGGAACATGCACACGCTCTATATTGGGCTCTATTTGCTGAGCTTGATACATGGGCTGGCGCGTCTGACCGGTCCGCCACGCTTCTGGATGTTCTTCTTGGGGCCGGGTGTCATCTACACTCTGGACAAGATTGTCTCGCTGCGCACCAAGTATATGGCACTGGATGTCATCGATACGGACTTGTTGCCCTCGGATGTGATCAAGGTCAAGTTCTATAGGCCGCCCAATCTCAAGTATTTGTCTGGGCAATGGGTGCGTCTGTCCTGCACCGCCTTCAGGCCACAGGAGATGCACAGCTTCACGTTGACCTCGGCGCCGCACGAGAACTTCCTCAGCTGTCACATCAAGGCGCAAGGACCTTGGACATGGAAGCTGCGCAACTATTTCGATCCGTGCAATTATAATCCGGAGGATCAGCCCAAGATACGCATCGAGGGCCCGTTCGGTGGTGGCAATCAGGACTGGTACAAGTTCGAGGTGGCTGTCATGGTGGGCGGCGGCATTGGCGTTACGCCCTACGCCTCCATACTAAACGATTTGGTCTTTGGCACCAGCACGAATCGCTACTCAGGCGTGGCCTGCAAGAAGGTTTATTTCCTGTGGATTTGTCCATCGCACAAGCACTTCGAGTGGTTCATCGATGTGCTGCGCGACGTGGAGAAGAAGGATGTGACCAATGTGCTGGAGATACACATCTTCATCACGCAGTTCTTCCACAAATTCGATCTGCGTACAACTATGCTGGTGAGCTGTAGAGAATCTATATTTCTTCTGGATCAATTTCTCATTGAATTTTTCCGTCTTGCTTCTAGTACATTTGTGAGAATCACTTTCAGCGCCTCTCGAAGACATCCATATTCACGGGTCTCAAGGCTGTTAATCATTTCGGACGGCCCGACATGTCCAGTTTTCTTAAGTTTGTGCAGAAGAAGCACTCCTATGTGAGTTGTCTAAAATTCGATTTGTTCATAAGAGAACTTAGTTAATTTTGTAATTTCCCTCTACAGGTATCTAAGATAGGCGTCTTCTCTTGTGGCCCCAGGCCGCTTACAAAGAGCGTCATGTCCGCCTGTGATGAAGTGAACAAAACACGCAAATTGCCCTATTTCATACATCATTTCGAGAATTTCGGTTAAGGCTAGTGCAAGTCCAGGTCTTAATCAGCTCTACAATTATCTGCCAACTACAAAAAATCACAACACCCCACACACACACACACACCCACACATACATAATGAAACATAACGGATTACTCTATGAATATTATACGCATAGTATTTAGTTTCATTCATTCAGCATTTAAGCGAATTTAGTTTTCACCTGCCCCGCCCCCTACGACCCTGTCCCTATCTAGCCACAAATATCTCTCACGTAATCTGTAACTTCATAAATTAGTCATGTTCTACAATTTAGTGCATTATGAAAATTTCCATTGATATTTAGCTACAATCACAACAACAACAACAAGAGAATGAACGAACAAAAGAGGAAGAAAAAAAAAACGGCCCTTTTACTTTATATACATATACTTGTGTATGTGTATGTGTATATGTATATGTGTATTTATTGAAAATATGATTTGTTATCAGTTTTTGTAAACCGTTCGCATTATTTATTAAAATTTACAATTTAATTGAAAAAATTTAGGTATATTTCGAGTTTATTTGTATATGATGGTTATATATATGTATGTATATATGGTTATGTATATGTATATATTATATTACCTTTTTATTTGTATAGATATTTGCGCACAAATTTCATGTATGTATGAGCATATATATTTGAATTTATCCACTAATCATTGTATTTCTTATATTTAGCTCACACAGTGATTGCGTTGTATATTGAATTAATTTATAAGTAAGTACGATTTTTTTTTTTGCAATATTTAATTTATTTTAACTTTTTATATATATATTTCTTTTTTTCATTCAAGATAAACATAAATTTGCATATTATTTGGACAAAATGACTGAATTTAGTATAATTAGAACAGTATATTCCATCATAATTTTATTTTTCAGTTTATTTTCCATAAGAAATATTATTATACATATATTTGTAGCTCTATACGTGATTAAAAATATAATAATACTAAATGCTTGGTATAAATTATATGTTACTTAAATGTAGCTTAATATTAGTATTTAGTATTATTATAATATTTGTTATCACGTATTTTCTTGTATAAATATGTTTTTTCTCATACAAAAGTATATACTTATGATTACAATAATACTCTACCAAATTATACTTAACTGTAACAAAGAACGCAAGACTCAAGTTCACTGCTTGTTAAGCAGTGCAACAAGCAGGTGACCATACACATAAACAAGCAGTTTAACACAAGCTATGTCCAATATTTCATACCTCTACTGTAAGCCGCTAATGCGCCTGCGTCAACTACAGCTGTTCGCTGACAACTTGAAATGGAAACAGGATTCGCACGGTAAACACATATCCTGGGTTAAATATTAACTAAATCTCTAGTTAAACAACAATAATATTAAATGGAGCTGGACGTGCTGCGCCTAACGGCGGACTATTATCACAAACTACTCGATGCGGAGCTGCATATCAATGAATGGGTTCAGGATCGGCAAGTCAATAAAAACTCACAGGCAAATCTGATATATAATAATAAATATAAATCTCTTGCAGATTGTTCATAGCGGAGCCTTTTTTTCGTTTTGTCAGCGTTTACCTGGAGCCCAGCAATCTGTTCAATGTGCTGATACCTCTGCTGGGCATCTGTGGACAGGATTTGCTCACACATCTGGTTTGTGCGCTGAGTTTGGTCAGTGCCGTCAGCTCCTTTGAGAAGTGGCAAGTGCTGCAGCTGCAATATTGTTGTAATTGTAATTCAATGGAACTTCATTTACAGGATCTATCCGGATTGGCGACCCCTTTGGCGCCTGCGTGAGCTCTATGCCAATGAATACGCCATTCGGCCGGGCGTCGCCTTGCAGAGTCACGATCTGAGCTGCGAGACGAGCGGCGGATTGCCGTGTGCCCATAGCATGGCTTGGACGGCGCTGCTAATGGTGGTCAGCATGCACCTGCCCATGAGGAGTGGCTCCTCCAGCTGGCGGCTAGCCATGTATGGCCTGATTGGCTGCTGCATCTTGAGCATGTGGCTGAGTCGCCTCTATCTGGCCACCGAGTATCTGCATCAGTGCCTCTTGTCTACTTATCTGGCCATAAGTCTCTTGGCCAGCTGCCAAAGGCATCTGAATTCCCTGTATAGCCAGCGAGGCAGTTGGACATTGTTGATGGTTCTTCTGCTTGGCTGCCTCGCCATCGCCGTTTACTTTCTTAAGCTACACCTGGACATTGATCCGCATTGGTCTGTGCGGCAGGTGTGTGGCCTAAAGAGTCTCAATTGCAGTGATTTCATTTATTGAACTACATTTTCCGCAGGCCTTTAAATGGTGCTCCGAGCCCACATACATGCGACATGAGAGCAGTCCCATCTTTCTGCTGGCACGAGATCTGGGCAATCTAATGGGCGTGGCACTTGCCTTACCTGTGGAGCAACTGTGCGTATATGAGTTCTCTGGCTTTACGGCATATTTGTATTAATACTTGTTTGCTTTTACTTTTAGAAGACATAACAATTCGAAATATTCACATCGTTTTGTTGGCATTGCCATTGTAGAGTTGCTTAACTATATCCTGCGCCTTGGCACACCCAAACAGCATGGACGCTTCCTCTTTCTGGCCTATGAGTTTATACGCAATGCCCTGCACTCACTGATACTCGTTAAGCTACTGCCGAAGCTCTTAAGTAGAAAGAGTTGAATTTTGTAAAATAGTTTATAAGTTATTTTCGTAATCTGTTAATATATTATGATTTCAAGATTTTAATTCAAACGCGTGCAAGCCGCGTTCTTAGACTTAATATTTTAAAAGAAATAAATTCAAATAAAATCAAATAAATCAAGCCTATTTACAATCTCAGTGTTTGTTATTTGCAGTAAACTTAACAGCTGCTTCTGCTCTGACTGCGCAGCAGACTTAACTTAAAAGAGCTCAATTATTGAGTGATGTTAATTAACAGCAAGCTTACGATCCACTCTGTTAGTTAACATTATTGAGAAATTTAAAATTTATCATACGGCAGTCCACTGATTCGCATTTCTGTTCGCCTGGTACTTCGTCCAGATTTTCGGGCAAAATTGACGACGAATTGAATCAGCAGCGGCTGCCCCGCGAGGTTAGGCAACGTTTTTTTTTGTCTGTAAGCCCTTTGAATTTGAATACTGGTATTGCTCAAATACAAACATGCTCAAGTACAATACAAATTTGTGTTTGATACCGAAATAAGCTAATAAATTTCTATTGTAGTTTCTTTTATATTAACATTTTTGTTGTTAATATACAATAAAATATTTTAAATAAACAGAACAGTGATTTTAAAATGATTTCATACTGAATTAAAAGGTAGTTTTTATTTTATTTATTTTTTATTATCTATTGTTTTCTTTTTTTTTTTAGTAACATATTCTTTTTTATATACATAATACATAAAATAAAACAACTCGTTAAAATATTTTCCTTCGTGGACTGAAATATATATTTCCAATTGGGTAGATGCCTTAGGATGGTGCGGATATATTTGCATGAATCTGCTACAAAGAGCCGGAAAAGAAAGTAGTCGAATATAAAAGCAGCGACAGCTTTTTGGCTTAACATTTAACATAAAATTTGGTGGAAAAATTGACTGAATTTAACTAATAAAGAACATAGAATACTCACTTGTATGAAAGCGATTCGCTTTAAAAAAAATGTAACCGACTGAACAAAGCGAATGCTAGTGAACAACTGAACGCTGCAGACAAAAAATATCAATGCATTACAACCGAAAAATTTCTCTCTCATTCACATATACCAATACATGAATCATGGCAGTTCTGCTCACGCTCAGATCTGTCTCTCAAGAAATATATTTCTTTCTCTCCTTTTCACATATACAACTAAATGCGTATATGTACGTATGCCATTGCTGTTCTGCTCTCCCTAAATTCTCGCAGACTGTGGTCCACACACATAACGAAATTGATCCGTTATTGCATGAGTGTGTATAGGGAGAGCTCAGCTCAAGCACACTGTTTCTCTTACGATCCAACTTGCTAGCACAGTTATTCTCTCCTAATTTCATCTTGTTGAGTGGTTATGTATATAAAACGGCTTACTCAAAAATAAGAGATGTGATCTCAATTTATCTTCCACTAAGGTAGCAAGCGACTTTCTCACACATATACAACTAAACCAATTTGTGACCACTGCAGAGCTCTGTTGAGTGGAATCTTGCAGCTCATTGGAAGGAGGCACTCAAGTGTGAGAGTGCTATTTCACGCCAGCTTGGTTTATCTCACAAACACACGTATTCACATACACTGTACAAGATCCTTATTTTTGCAAGATTTTTAAACAATATTTATTCTGTTATTTCATTCTTCTTGTTTTTTTTTTGGGTTCTTACAATATTTAAGCAGTTGCTTTCGTATTACATTTTACCATTGTAAAACATTTTTTCGCTGTTGCTTAAAATAATTTATTCATTTTTTTGCATTTGTTTTTGTTTTATTTTATTTATCTTTATATAATGCTATTTTATGTGTATGTAAATTGTTATGTGTATTTGTGTGTGTGTTGGTTTATGTTGGTGTTTGTGTATGTTTAACATTGGTTATGGTATGCATTTTAATTAGCTTGTATATGTATTTTTTTATAATCTTTACTTAACAAGTTAAGATATTCGATTTTCGTTTCGTTTGCTTTTAACATTTGTTTTTGTTGCTTTTTTTTTTTTTTGGTTTATAAATTTTAGTTAGCAGCTAACGGGTTTACGTTTTATTTTCGCATTTAGTTGATACATATATATTTATTTACTTATATAAAACAAGTTGTTTTTGTTTTTTAATACAAAATATAAACTAATTACAAATATTTTATATTTATATAAATATATTTATGTATTTTTAATTAATAACATTTATGCGTGTAAATAAAATGTTTATTTACAATAACTGGACTTCTAAATTTTGAATAGCTTTTGTTGTTTTACTGTTGTTTTTAAATGCGCAAGAGGAAAATTGTTTTTCGTTTTTCATAAGTTAATTAACATATTTTTCTAATCAGAATTGATCTCCAAAAGAAAATTAGCTGAACTTAGCTTTTAGTATTTGCTAGAATATTTACATAATGTATTTAGTTTGTATACTTTTACATACATATATATATATATATATTGGTTAATACTTACCAATATATACATACGTATTTTTTTTGTATTCGTATAATATGTTTTTCCACATTAGGTAACAGTGCATTATTTTCATTCAATATTTTGCTGGGTTAGTTTTGTGTCTTATTTGAAATTACAGTTACAAGTGGCAAGTGTTTTGGGGGCATTTGGAACATTTACTTCTCGCTTCTCTTTTTATTAGTATTACTTTTTTTCGTATGCGTATTTTCCATTAGCTCAGTAACATTAT